AAATACTTTTTTGCCCCACTGTATATATATATATATATATATATATATATATATATATATATATATATATACTTTTTGTTAATAATTAAAAGGCAAATAATATTTTATATAATAAAAATTATATTAATATAATAATAAAATTATATAAACATCAATAGTAAAATGAATCCTTCAATTATAATGTTTAATATTATCAATATTGCAAAAATATTACATTTAATAATATTGAATATAAAATCATACTGTATTACATTAGTGAGAATCTAACAAGAGTTTCAGCAATTAGGGTAAAGGGAATTACACACAAAAAATTAAACACCTACACATTCTGTTACTGAGAATTGTTTTTGTGAGGAAAAAAATAATTCATTAAAAATGAATTAAAAGTGACAGGAAAAGAATCTACGTTAATGAGAAACACCTCACCTTCCCTTCAATACCGATACCGCAGTCTGCTGCTTGGATCATGCTGACATCATTTCCTCCATCACCTGAGCACAGAGATAAGAAAGATGATAGCGGGAAAACATGAGAAGACACTGTGAAGACAGTCATCTTTACCGCTCTCAAAGATTCATGTGCTTGGAGAGAGTTCAGTTTAAGTGGGTTTTGTCTCAGCGACTGGATGATGAGACTTAAAGCTCAACAGACTGAGGAGAGAATGGAGAGGACTGACCTATGGCACATGTTCTGTTGTCTGTATGCTGCTGTAACAATCGAACGATCTGAGCTTTCTGCGTGGGAGAGCAGCGACAGCAAACCACAGCGGGGCACTGACACGCCAGCTCCACAAATTCATGCTCGTAGTAGCGCAGACAGACCTGATGGGCCACACATAATCAGTGTGCGAAAGTCAAACCTGATCATACATGATTTTTTTGAATATATGGAAAGTCAAGCTTTTTTTTTACCTCTAGAGAGTCTCCTGAGATGACCAGCGCACAGTCGTGCTTCCTCCTGAAGGCGTTCAGCTCCAGATGAGCCTCGCCCCTGTTGGACACCTGCCACAAAAACACCATAAAGCATTCACACTAATTCCACTTAAAAATCCAAATAACCAGTGGTTCTGATCCTACCGGTTTGAAAACGTGGATGTCTTGATTTCTAGAAACTAAGTGGGAACTTTTGGCGATACACGTAGCAGTTTCCAGCTTGTCTCCGGTCAACATCCAGATCTGAAACATGAAGAACCTAAGAGTTAATATTAAATGCCCAATATGCATAATATTGGCATGGTGTTTGGGTGTTCACATATTTTTGGCCACATATTGCATGTTTACCTTGATCCCTGCATTGCGGAGGAGCTCTAGTGTGGGCCGGACATCGGCCTGCAGCTGATCTTCCACTCCAGTGAGACACAGAAGCTCCATCTCTCTCTCCAGACTCTCCACCACTGCCGCCACCTTCAGAGCGCGATCATGGATACTCAACTTCGCCTGGTTATATCGACTCTGAAAAGACAGAAATAGATCAAATGTGTGCTAAATTATGAGGATTTTAAACTTGCCTTGATTCAGTAGCGAAAATGGCATAACTGTTGGTTAATTTGATTAAAGTTGCTTATATAAATCAGTTCAAACCGACCATTTCAATTAATCAATTCCAAACTCTGATTCAATGATTTGTTTACAACATCAACATAATCGTTCAAAGAGGTTTCCAAGTGACATTTTTCATACTGTATATTAAATGGTCTTGAAAATGTCCTGTAAAAAATGTTGTTTATTACAAATTACACTACTGTTCAAAGGATTAGGGTTGGCGAGATTTTTTCTTTGAAAGAAATTAATACATTTATTCAGCAAGGATGCTTTAAATTGATCAAAACTGTCAGTAAAGACATTCATAATATATAAAAAAAAATCAATTTCAAATAAACTCTGTTCTTTTAAACTTTCCAAAATATTAAACAACTGTTTTCAATCTTTCTTGAGCACCAAATCATAAATGCAATGAATAAAATCAGGATATAATGAAATAATAACTGATGAAAATTCTGCTTTGCCATCACAAGAATACATTACATTTTAAGATAAATTAAAATAGAATACAGCTAATATTTCACAATATTACTGTTTTTACGGCATTTTTTCAGCCATGGTGAGCATAAGAAACCTTTCAAAAACATGAAAATTTTTTACAGCCCCCAAACTTCTGAAGAGTAGTATGCAAGTATATTGGTTCTATATGTATAAAAGTGATTATATTTTAAAGTGAATATATTTTCCTTGTGTTTACTTGATGAAAAAATGCATGAAAACAAAAAAATGGTTCTTTAATATTTAAAGAACACTTATTATTGAGAACACTAAGTACTTACTCGATTCCACAGCAAAAACTAGTAGTATAACTAATAAAGGTCAAACATTTTAAAGACAAGTGAACTGCTAGTAAAAAATATATAAAATAAAATAAAATAAACACCTCAGTTGAAATCTTGGTTTGGGTGGGTCCAGTGGCACCTAGATCTGACTGAAAGGGCTCTTGCAGGGGCTTGAGCCAGAGTGCATGTGTCGACCTCTTGCATTCACGCATGCGTTCGACTGTACACATACACTAGTGTACATGTACAAAAAAAGTAGTATACTTTGGGCTTAATAGACGGACTCCAAAAAATACTTTTGAATATGTAATTTAATCACGGGTGGGAGGACCTCGTACCAATCACAGAGAATCCCACCGACAAAAAGAGTACAACAGTTTATATAGAATAGGTGCATGGCAAAGTTGACATGATCTTACATCATTTTTCTCTATTATAACTGGTTCTTCATACGTGCAAGAAACCCCCCTGTTACTGGCAAACCAAATTTGGGTTTTGATTACTTCAGCTTGTTACTCAAGTCATGGGGTTGTTATGGTTATTATTATTTACAGACAGACGTCTAGCCGCCTTGTCCAAATGCATCCGTTATTGCAACATGCTAACTTTGGCCCAAGTGTTGGGGACATCAAATGAATTTGACATGCTTATGTGTTTTATCCAAATATAAGACTTGCAATAAATAAAGTAGTCACTGGTAACATAAGTTTAAGAAATTAATTAATTAGAAATTAGATAGAAATCAGCGCTCTAATAATCTAATCTAATGCTGATAAATTGTGCTTTAATGCCACCTGTTATCTCTCAAAATTTTCATGCTAACCAATAATTGTACTCCTTCCATCAACATCCTAATGGAATGACAATATACAGTAACCAATTTTATCAGATACACATATCATCTTCTGTCAACATTTTATCCAGACCAGAACCATTCTATTTTTAGAATGCACAATAAAAAAATCCCATTATTTTCACAGATTCAAGAATTTGTTTTTTAAGCAATGGAAAATTAAAGAAACTAAAAACCCCAGAGTAAATTACATTTGATCTACAGTAGACCTTTTACAGAGTCAATTTTTAGTATTATCATCTTTAGGGTTCAAGGGTCATACTGGTCTATTAGGAAATAAGCAAGTTGATATTGCTGCAAAGGAAGCTATCAGTTTGGGTACAGAATGTTAAATATTTCTCTAGAGATCATTTTAATGATCTTTTATTGCATTGTATTTATTACACAACATTTTTTAGATCTATTTGTCAACAATGGAATTTTGCTTAAAAATAATGGTTCCTCTGTTGGAGTACAAAAAGGGCAAATTTACACCAAAATATTAAAAAGTTGAAAATTGTTAAGGTACATTATATATTTTAAACTATATCACTACATATTAACCCATTTGTGAATTGGTGTATCATACCTCAAAATCCTGGTATTGCTCTTCAGTCAGTGATTTCTTAGCCACCACCAGTGTCCGCAGGCCCTCTCTGGCCATGTTCCCACACTGAATCAACATAATGCAACACACAACTACAATTACATCAGCTACACCCATGACGTGTGAGTGTGTGTGGTTGTGTATTAGACTGTGAACTCAATTGGTATACAGAAAGCATGAGAACAAAGATATAAACAATGCTTCTAACACAATTGTATTTACTGGAAACATCAAAACAGTGCCATGCAAATAGAGATATGCAAACACACACACGCACAGAAAGAATCAATTGTGAAAAATACAACAGTGCCTGTGGGAATCTTTGAGCAGACTGTAAAAGATGTGGGACAGCGGTTTAATTTTGATATGAAAATCCAACAGGCGAAAGTGATGCAGTGATTACTTTATTGACCTGTCCTTATACCAGCGTCTCACATGCACACACAAAGCGCACCGATGAGGATTATGGCATGATGCTCCCAGTCATAAGCCTTTATTGAGGTCATTCATTAATTAATAAGCCTCATCTCCGCCCCTCATCGACTGCATATTGCCAATACAATTGTAATCATCAAAGCGAGAAATGCATGTGTGATTATGGGCTGAGCAGATTGTCCTTGATCAAAGAGGCTAGGACAGGCCGACCTGTTTGTTATGCTTAGCGCTACCTTATCAAATGTGTTGATTCTTAATTCAATCGGGATCTGTTCATAAAGACACTCCTACTAGGGATTCAATACCAAAAACACTGGTGGTACCTACTGAGGAAGTCAGTTGGAATGACAGACATACGGGAACTGGGGCTAAGACGCCCCATGTCAGCATCAACACCTCTCATTTACTTTGAACGGAGTGATGTCAAGCGTTGGTGAAATGAATTGTGGGTTCGTCGCATCGCGTTGGGTCCGTTGCTTGCAGCAGAAGTTGAAACGTTTCAACTTTTCAAGCACCAACGCAGGCGTCAGCCAATCAGATCGCCTTATGCAAATACTCTAGCACAGACGCTAGCAAATCGCGTTCATGCAACACCAGAAGACTAATGTGATTGGCTGTTGTCACTATGACGGTCCAACCAAGCTTCAGAAATGCCCTCCGTCAAGCGTTAACGCTGACGCCCCGTGTGAATTAGTCATCATATACTAGCCAAATACTCGTTTATACTTTAAATTTATAACTGTAATATGTATATATTATACACTACTGTTCAGAAGTTTGGAGATCACCAAGGCTGAATATATTTGATAAAAAAATACAGTAAATACAGAACAGTTTTAAAATATTTTAATTATGTTTTCTATTTTAATATATTTAAAAAAGTAATTTATTGCTGTGATGGCAAATCTGAACTTTCAGCAGCCATTACTCTAGTCTTAAGTGTCACATGATCTGCTGATTTGGTTCTCAAGAAACATTATTATCAATGTTAAAAAAAGTTGTGATGCTTAATATTTTTGTGGAAACAATAAATTTTTTTCTTTTTACAGGATTCTTTGATCGATACTAACAAAAGCATTTTTGTTTTAAAAATACAAACGTTTTGTAGCATTATAAAATGTTGTTTTTTTTCTCCTATCAGAATTCTTTAGTTATTAGAAAGTTTAAAAGAACAGCATTTATTTGAAATATAAATATTTTATAACAACATAATTTTATTGTCACTTTTGATCAATTTAATGCATCCTTGCAAAATAAAAGTATTTATTCCTTAAAAAAAACATCCTATTTGACCCCAAATGTTTGAACAGTAGTGCAAGTATATAACTTGCAATATGTATCACAATATGTAAAAATGGTTAGATATTTTCTTACATTGTTTTCTTAGTTTTGTGTTTTCATAACTGCTACATTGTTAAAATTTTACTGAAAATGTAAAAACTAACACCAGTCAACACTACACCAAAATTTGTGAGACTCACTTAATCTGGTGACATTTTTCCTATTCTTTTAGTTTTTGCATGGATAAATTACATTTGAGAACAAATATAAAGGTACTGCGTTTATTTGTATTGTATTTACTGTCATTTGACACACACACACACACACACACACACACGCATGCACACACACACACACAAAGACAGATTATGAATCGTATACAAAAACAATTAAAAATGCAAATAAACAAAAGGGTCACAGAAACAGACAATTCGATTTATTCATAAGCTCACCAACCCACACGAAAAAGCAGAATTTCCCATCAACAATGGTTCATGCATTCTTACCTCCTCCTCCAGCCAATCATTGTACTGTACAATGCTCGCCATAGCAACATCAGCTCCTTTCATGTAAAACGTGATGTCGCCCGTGGCCTCCTCCTGAAACACAATCAATTCAGAGAACACTTAAAAACATATCCAAATCATGTCTAAATCATTAGCATGTCCAACTGTAGAGCACAAAACCACACAGATGGCGCGTGGAGCCCTAAAGTTATCAGTAAATAAGACGACAAACAGAGTATGACAAACACACAAACGCATGTCAAAAGCTTAGCCAACAATACTTTTATGCATGTACTGTACAACACGACACACTCACAGAAACACTCAAGTACACAGAGTCCTGAAGTATCTACTGTAATAGCTTACTCAACAAAGGCTGAAGGACACAAAGCCCCACTATAGAGGAAACATGTTCAAATGCGCACACATTTTCAAACTCGTATTCTCACCAGATGTTTTTTACACTGCTTGAAATTAGATAAATATGTAATTCCGAACACAGACAAACACACTCACACACTTGTAATATGACACGCACCCTGACAATAATGCCCATGCGCTTGCTCTCAGAGGTGAAGGGGAAGATCTGGAGGATGTAATAGGTCAAGATGTGTCCGGCTGGGGTCTTCAGCTGGAGGGATGTCAGGTCTCTGTTCACCAGAGTCAAACCCACACTCTCAGTCCAGCGCACCAGAGCCACCTACACAACATGTGAAAGAATGTATTGTTGTAAAAGATTTGTTTTTGTGACCAGTTACATGCAACTTTTTGCTCTCAATGATCAAATCATCTTTAAAGAGCTGACAAAAAAAAGACAAAAAAGTCACAATCTACACTAGGTCTAGGTCACTAATGAAGTTTCTGAAAATCCAATTTGAGCCACTGATCATATGAATTCTTGTACAGTCAAATTGTCTTGTTACCACTGGAGCACGAGATTCTGTTTGGATCATTCTCAAATCATGCTTGACAGTCAGTAAAACCAAACGAAATACTGAGACATTCCAAAATTCATGTTAATAATTCAACTTTCTACTCTAGCTGAAATATGCTGATAAAATAGAGTTATAGAGTAGATATAATTTATAAAAAATACTGCATGGAATTAGAAAAGATTGTAATAAATTAAAGTCTCAGACTTCTTGACCCCATTGCATGCACTGTTTATCTCAAGACTGAAAGATCATAAACATCCCTGCAAATTATGCCTTTAAATTACTCCACAGCTCTGATTACAACTGCTTTCTTTGCTCTTACACACATCAGAACACAGCTAGAACTCTTGTTTATGGCATTTCAATGTGATATGACTAATTAGCCAGTCTTCTATCAACCTGACAGTGCTAAATGATGCCCTCAAGAGCACACACACACACACAAGTAACTCAGGTGGTGGGGAAATGCCTTCAGGAGAGGAGCAGGGAACTGTTTTACGACACAGGGGAGAGCCTTTAATACACTCTATCAATCATTTCAGCAGTACAGGAAGAAAAGCTGTAATCATAAACCAAGATCACTGCGCCTTCAAGAAGCAGAGAGGATTGAACCCGCACCATGTGACCTACGACCACATTAAGACGTGGCTGTTATTTAATAAAGAGACCAGATGTGACAGGAAATATGATACAACGTCATAAAGAAGGCAAAGTGGAGATGGGTTTATCTGACAGAGCAGTTTCTTCCAGGAATATGCTAAGAGAAGTTTATCTGAATTCTCTCTTTCACTTATCGTTATTATAACAGTATATTATTTTACATTTTTTGAGCAATGACTTTTCATGTCGTTTGATTACTGGCTTTTTTAAAATAAATTACTTTATAGAGATTGCACTCACAAAGAATTATTATTATTATTTTTTTTTTACAAATTCAATATTTTAGAGTTGAGCATAACTAAGAAAAATTATACTGACTACAGAAATTTCCATTTTTTTTTATTATAAATGATTACATATTGTTATTAATGATTAAATTATCTAGGCCTGGAAATAACGATTGTAAAATTCATATTTAGTTTTAAAATTCAAATTACAATATGAACCCAATCACAGATTTTAAATGAAAACAACTTACTTAAAAATATTTGACTGGATCACTCTATTAATCAAAACCAGACTAAGATTGCATCCGCTTTAACCTTATTCTAACAAAAAACTCATTCTAAAAGAATTGAACATGCCATAACTCTCTTGTATGAGTAGCCCATCTTTTGTGACAACTTCTATTTAATAGGGTAAAGGTTAGAGGTCAATACTATATTTTTCTTAGAAGCAGCAAAGGTCAACAGCCACTGAACACTGTCGTCTCATCTGAATAAGCCAAAACCACTAATAAAACCATCAGTGAACTTCTATTACCCCCCATAAGTAAAACTTCATTATCGGACATAACAAACGGTCTTGCTCATGAGAATGTCCGATCATTAAAGGTCATGATAAACCTCTGACCCTTGACACTGTGAGGTCAAAGGTCACAAATTACTTAAAGTAAGTGTCCGGAAAGGCAATCCCTGAACTCGGCTCTCTTTAGGAATATTATCGCTATGCATCTGTCATATTAAAAGCTGAAAAGGCTGGAGGTCTTTGAGCGAGCACACATAGACACAGGCGCTGATGAGAGTGACATGTAGAGAAAGACTAGTGTTAACCGCTAGTCTCTCAGAGAAAATTAAATATTGATCAATCCCGGAGTGAAGACGTTGGAGAGATAAGACCTGGGCATTAAAGAAAATAAATAAGTAGACACATCAAGGGAGAAGAGAGGACAGGCAATTCCACTAAAGAGGGAGATGGACAGATTTCTTTTTCCTTTTATCACTCTCAAAAGATATCTACGTCTACAGAAGGTCTTGAAGAAAAAGATGCTCGGTCTGTGTAAAGGAGAAATGAAAGAGCACTGGAATATTTTCAATTTATATAATGACTGGCGCATTTTCTTGAAAACAATCAATGCTTTGAAAACAACTGCCCTTCATTAGTTCATCTTCATTAGATCCTGCAAGGGAACAGCAAATATTGTACAGAATTATTGAACACTTAAAGGGTTAGTTCACCTAAACATACAAATGTTGTCATCATTTACTTATTTACCCATGTTGTTCAAAACGGATATGGTTTTCTTTCTTCCGTAGACAACAAAAAAGAAATGCTCCACAAACTGTAAAGCTCCAAAAATGACAAAAAAGCAATATAAAAATATCATATGCTAATTAAAATGAGGCTGTGAAGGATAGACATACAGTCCATTCAGGTTGTACTTCTGTATACCTTGGTTTCCTATGGATTATATGGTCATTTTTTGGAGACTTTCATTGTATGATGAAAAGCAATGCCAAAAATTCTTCTAAGCTTCATCTTTGTGCTCGACAGAAGAAAGAAAGTCATACAGGTTTGGAAGATTATGAGTAATAGATGACAGAAATGTCATTTTTGGTTAAATTATACCTCCAACGAGCCTCAAACAACATTTCATTCCCCTCCATTAAAAAATATATTTAACTATAATGAGCCTGACGTTTCCCTCCATCTATTTGAGGACCGCTGCCTTTGTGACATATGTTTGGCCTCAATGCCTTTTCTGCCATTTATTTAGTGCTTTTCTTACCAACAACTCATTCAAAATATTGTTGCTCTACAACGGATCTATAAATATCTACGATCTCTCAACACAAATGATGACCAAGTCCTTCCTGGTGTGTGACCTACCCCTGCCCCCTCTGCTTCTGATATTTATTGAGCCCTCTCAGATTTCTCTACTAACACAGAGTCTATATTACCATCCAATAAGGCAGTAAATTCAAGGCTAAAGTGGGGGAGTCATAAATACTAAAGCAGCGATATATAGGATTACACTGTTAAAGGAATGAGGAGACCAGTGTCATTGCAATCTATCTGATTTCTAAATAAAATAAATAGAAAAAAAAAATTGTCCGGGTTTTTTTTTGTTTTCTTTGCTGGAACCACTTAAGCAGAAAATGACAAAAATAAAATAAAAAAAGATGACAAAAAATGTCCCAAAATAATATTTTTTAAATAATTTTGATTAAGCAAATAAATAAATACCATTCCTTTCAGGACGTCCCATTAGGGCTGCACGATTAATCAAATGTGATTGTCACGCGCATCTTGTCAGTAAAGCCAGTTCTGTGATTAGTAGTAAATCTCCAGCTCGTGCTTTCAGATGGAGCAGCGTTTACTACACAGAGCCGTAGTTCACAGACAAGCTACGCAAAATCGCGTTCATAATCGCAGATGATTTAATCACGTGATTATGAAATCGAAGAAATCGTTCTGCTATTATGAAAGCTGTTTGCGTAGCTTGTCAATGAACTACGGCTCTGTGTAGTAAATGCTCCTCCAAAGCATGTGAAAATACCAAATTTAATTACATGTTTTTAACTCCAAACTCACTTCATAATGTCAGTCGAGTGTTTGAAATAAATCATTCTGTGAGATGATGTGGCTTCATATTTCATAGTATTCTAAGCAGTGATAAAGGCAATGTCGATTAGCATTGCATTATTATATACTTTATTATAATAAAAATTATAATAAGATGAACACGGATAAACCATATATTGTCGTAGTCGTGTGTTTATTAGTCATGTTGAATTAATGAAAGCAGTTAAATCTTCTGTTTATTCAACAACGCCTATAGGGATTTCCTGGGTTTCTTCTGTGAGGCATTTTTTGAGTTTCAGCACGAGAGCGCCCTCTGGCCTTCGGATCAGGGATGTTCATTTTAACAGTTAACCGACCGTATAGAATTTTGACCGATTAAAACAATCAGTTAAACGGTTTAAAAGGTCATTTATTTATTTATTTTTTCAGTAATTTATCAAAATATTTTAAAAGATTTGCTGCATGGTTAAAATACACTACGCGTATAAAAAAATTGTTTTATAATTTATAAATCACATTTTATTATTTTATTCAGAAATAGGCCTAATGCCGACGCAAAATGTTTACAAACATTATAATAAACACTGTAAACATAGCTAGGCTAATTTTTCAATTAACAGTATTTAGAAAAGAACAAAAATTAAAAATGTAAGACGCTATAGCAACATAAACGACAAGCCAAAATGAATTAATTTAGGCTAAAACGAAACTGAAACCAACGTTGGGTCTCTCATTCGACACAAAATCAAATGTTTCCGTATTCGTGATGTATTTGAATGGCAAATTATTATTTATTATGTAGCCTGGCCTACTTCACTCGCATTCCAATATCTACGTAAAACAAAATGTTTTGCATAACATCACAGCGGTATGGTGATAACGCTTAATGGCACAGATTTTTACTACATATTTAAACTGAGCAGTGTATTTTTTTCCCCCATATGTTTGACTGACTGTATTTTATTATGATAATGAACAGGCTGCATTGTCAAGGTAGCAATGCTTAACTGTGCGCGCGCATGCGGCACCGGCGCAATCACTTGAATTTTTTCCTTCTAACAGTGGAAACAACTACTTTTAGTCATAAAGATAATCGGAATTGTAAAAGGTTTGCTTTTATTTGTGTACGTACATTCACAATAAAAACAAATCTTTGTGCTTTTATAAAATAAGCCTAAAGAAAAATAGGATGCCGCTTTTAGCCATCTGGTTTCCTTTCTCGCAGCACAAAAATGAACCAAAACTACTTGTTACAGTTTTTCTTTCATTTTCTTAATTTATTATTTAAGTAAAGATATATTTCTCGTATAGGCCTATTCATTCGTTATATACAGTATATAGGCTATATATATATATATATAGCCTAGCTTTATTATGTTTTTCTACGCTCGCAGAAGCGCTGCAGGTGCGTGATATGATATGAAGACCATGTGAATCCTCATGTTCTGTTGTTTGCTGCTTTTTGCACATGTAAAATAAATTCCCGGGAAACAAACGTTAGTATTTTTAATGGGTCACAGACACTTATCCTTTCTAATTTAATTCAATTCTAATTTAAAACAATCTTGTCGGTTAACGGTTAATAATCAGTTAAGGAGCGTCGGTTGTCGGTTAAGAAAAATAACTGAAATGAACATCCCTACTTCGGATAGAGATTTACTGCTGATCACAGAACCGTGCTTCACTGAAAGATATGCAGGACAATATTTTAAATTAAATTTAGATTTAATTTTAATGAATCGTGCAGCCCTACGTCCCATCATTCTTACATCATCAGGACTGGAGGCCTGGTAAGTGCGGTTGTCGTCGCTAAAGTCCTGGTCGGCCTCTGTGCTCTCTGGCTCTGTGCTGGCACCGTTAACACAGGATTCATACACTGGTGTAACGTTGTGGCAGAGGGCGATGGCTTTCACGGCCTCGTGGATCCGGCTACTCACGCTCTTGCGGACCTTCGGAGCGGGCGGCTGTGATTTACAAGAGGGTGTTGAACTCGCACTATTGCCATTAGACTGCACCGAGCTCACCTGGAGAGACACAAAGTTGAAATAACAAGAGTGCGCTTTAGCTTGAGAAATAACATTTGTTATTAGAAATATTTATTTCAAAAAAGTATTCAGTTCAACACATTTAAAAATCAGTTAAATTATGAAGTAATGTCAGAATCTGATAACGTCGTCATGTGTAGTATAAGAACGGGGGACTGGTCAGGAAGTGTCTACTGATAATTCATTTTCCTGTGCTCTCTCAGTGTCAGGACACATTGGGCAAAAAAAAAAAGCGTGAAGATTTCATCAGTGTCTCTCCACACAACAATGTCGAAATCCCACCCTGACTCTGAAACTTATCAATTTACATAAGCACCACTGTGAGTCTTCGTGTGTGTGTGTGTGCGCTTGACAGGGGTTGCTGTGCTCCACTGGAGCAGGAGATTTCTCTTGATGAACTACTCTTTCCTCAGAGCTTTGCCGAGGGGAAGAGATGACAACCTGCACACAGCCTTCAAACTGCAGATGAAGGTACATAAAAACACCCCACTGCTGGCTCACTCTCTCAGAATTAAAGTATGTTAGGTTCCAGATTTGACAATCTGAATATGTATATAAAAATACAGTAAATGTGTAATAAGATATATGCACAGTCAGCCAGTTGTAAATAGGCATGTCATATTGACTGGAGTTAAAAATGCCCCTTAATTATTACATTTATATTCTATTTGCTGTCATGTAACACTGACTTAATCTTTAAAAACATTAATTTAATAATATTAACTATAATCTCAAAATGAATATCTATTTTTATAATATACATTATAAATGCTGTGATGTCTAAATTCACTTGCAGAATTTAATTATCAGCTTTTTGGCATTATCAAGAATTCTCTATATATTTATATTTAGTAACATCATTTATTATACAAGAAAGAGAAGAACACAGTGATACAGCAAAAAAACTAGCACCGTGTAGGAAATCAGTCCGTTTTCAGTTTAAATCAAAAAGCATTTGAGTGACTAAATAACCAGAATTGGCAAAAAAATAAAATATATCTACAAATACACAACAGCGTTTACATATACAGCTCTACACTACTCGAAGGTCCTGCTCCTCTCTGAATTTTCTCAAGTTCATATTAACTAAAGTTCAGTGCCACAAAAACAACACACCTGGCCTTTTAAGATCAATTAATGGAAAAGCGAAGTTTAAAGTCACAACGCTATTAGAGTCAAAAAATGCTTGTGAACTGAACTGTTAATTTTCTCACCTTTTTCATTTTCATTTAGTGCCACAAAAATGTCATACTTCACCTTTACAGTACAATTTTATGGAAAGCTAAGAATGCTATTATAGAGCCACAAAAAGCTTGTAAATTGAAGGTTTTAAACTGAACCACATCATCTACATATGAATATCAAATTTTGACATTTCAAAACACAATTTGAGTTCAAAATCCCAGTTTGACAGGCAAGAACTGTCTGTACACTCACCCCGTCTCAAAAAAGACTATGGGGTTTGCCCTCTACAAAACAACAGCTGTTTTTAATAGTAATTTCTTTATACTCATAACACTCCAGAGAGAATGGGAGCTATAACTGCCTAGTGCACAACAAAGCATGTTAAGCTGTAAATTACATTATGTTTATTGATTCCTGTCAAACTCAATTTCACAAGTTGTTGGACACGGACTCTGACACGTCCTGAGGGGGGATATAATAAGGCTATGATCGCTCATATCATGGGTACATTTCAAACCTGCCTGCCAGTCCATCATCACAGTAATGAAGGACCATGAAGCATGAAAACCAATTGCCACTGTGGCTTTAACACTGTCACCCAGCTGTTGGCACAAAACGTGCACACACACACCAAAGACAACAGCAGTTAGTGAAGGATGTGAAACTCCTTAAGTTTCCTCTATAGTGAAAGTGATTGTCTTAATGGTGATGTGTAAGGTGACATGTCAATCGCACCTGAGCGTAGGACTGGATGATGTGACTCTGGATCTCATCCATAGTGTCCATCCCGTATGACACAGTACCGAGATGGAGGCGCTTGAAAACCATCTCGTTCTGGGTCAGAGTGCCTGGAAAAAGAGCACACAAAGATTAAGATCAGGAGAGAAATCAATAGTTATTATAAAGCTTTTGGATGGGCAGAGTGGTTTCAACACAACGAAAGAGGGAGAAAATAAAACAAGGAAGAGAATAGCATAAAATAAAATAGCATAAAATAAAATAAAAGTACCGGTCTTGTCTGTAAGCAGGTAGACCAGACGGCCAAGTTCTTCTGGGATGGTGCTTGTCCGAACCACAGTACCTGGAATATTCTCATCCTTCATAATCATCCAGCCGTACGCTGACTTCCCCATGTCCAGGTTTACTCTTAGACTACACACACACACACAAATGTCTAAAAAATATGTTTGTTCTTCTCATTTCACACTGCTGATGATTTTGCTGTAATATTTTCACATAAGTGGGATCTGGGTGATAATATTATAAACATACCTGATGGGGATGATGTATGAAAATAAAACCACGAAACGGAACAGGTTTCGGAACCAGGGCCCAAGGAATCCCTGCAAAGTCACCATAACAACAGACAGAACCACCTGAGCCAGGAACAGAGCTTTTGTTAGGCGGTTTAACTCCAGGTCCAATAGTCCCACCTGCAGAGGAAGAGATGAGAAAGTCTGAGATAAATCAAACTGAAAGTTTTTGTGTGCTTTAATAAGTGTTTAAACTTACATTTTAGTAAACAAGTAAGAGATAATGTACATTCAGCTGGTCATTATCACTGTAAATCAACCTGTGAAGGTGTATTTTGCAATAAATATTGTCTGACTGTACATTATTATGAGTATAACATGGCTAGTATAACATGAAAATCTAATTTACACATTTTATTTATCGATTTAAGTGTTTTATTATGCGAAAATAAACAAGCCATAATGTGATAGGTGAGTGAAACTAGCTTAGTCATTTATACATATGCCACTGACTAATCAGAATTAAGCACTTTAGTATTTTAAGAATAGTAAATACATTCAGAAATATATAGTAATGAATATTCCCAGGGAAACGTGTTTTTAATAATTTTTACTGGTTGTTTATAAAAAATAAATAAAAAAGTTCTCAAAATGAATGAGTATTTGGTTAAAGCGCTCTTATCCAAAGCATGCGATATTCCCTCTGAGAACAAGAACCTTGAGGGCTCCTCTCATCTGAAGTGATCCGAAATGTTACTCTTATGAAAAATAAAACAACCTGCCCATAAGCCAGCACTGATAAATGCCCCCCAGGCCTGTTCCAGACCGCAGACCTTTCTCATGCTAATAGTGTATGTGGAGGAGAGGAGAGATGAGAGGCATTTAACCAAGAAGCCCACTGCTGTTGTCGTCTCTCTGTGAAAAGCACAGGAGGCAAAACCGGAAAAATAAAAGCAGAACGCCTCTTCATAGAAACGGCCCCTGACAAAAGAGCTTTCCCCTTTTTCTCTCAAGTATGTCCCCTCAGCCAATGGAATATGTGGGAAAATTATGTCAAAAAAGAAGTTTTTCTTGTTTCCCTCTGGTGAGGGCCGACAGCGTGGCCTGCGCGAAAACACTGAGGTCTTTCATCTAGGCAGCGCGCTAATAAAAACAGCAACACATAACACCGTCCCCTGAGAAAAAGAATCTGCGTGAAAGGGACGGGGGTGGGGGAGAGAGGGGATGGACAAATTGAACAGAAAAGACAAAAAAAAAAAAATGCAAGCAAAATTAATCCCCCAACTGCCTACGGCCCCCAGTCCCTGGAGGACTGAGTAAACTGGGAGACACTGGGAGAGAAGAGCTGCTGTCTGATTTATCAGCTGTAGTTTAAAACCCCTCCGATGGCCTGCCGCCCCACTCAGAGCTTCATGCTTCAGCTAGTGAGGAAAAAGGGGGGAATGGAAGGATTAAAATGAAGAAAAATTAAGACAGAAGACACAGTTCCCCAGCTGAAAGGGAGGAATCCCCCTTTATGGGGGCAAAACAATGCGGAGGCTGAATTTTGCAAAGCTGGCCAGGGATCGGGTGAAGCCGTTATTCATTCAGCCCGAGAGGAAAAAGCGACTCAATTACCTCAAGCTGAAGATGCTATCAATGAATCGAGAGTGCATATTTTACTCTATTCATCTGGGCCTCGTTTAAAGTGAAAGGAATGATTCAACCTGCCCTCGCTGCCTGTATGTTTTGTGTGTGAAATTTGATGACGACTTTGTGCCTGCATAATGAATATTCATTGGTTGAAATCCATCAAGTATACAGAGGCTGTTACAACAATATGGCATTATGCTAGTGTCCCAGAAACTGGATATGCAATACAGCTAAATGGATCATGCCATCCACGGTGCAGGACCACAGACGAGGTCTTGAGAAGTTTCTTCACTTTACCAAACAAACTTATCAACTAAAACGATCAGACTTAAACTGAATATTCGAAAACTGTATCATATTCACAGCTTATGTGTCTCAAATATTTGATTCATTTTGGTCAATCACTGCATTCTTTGGTCAAATACTTTTATAAAACAACCACTAAACTGCATAATTGGCCATTGTCCCTGGCTAGCAATAACTTAATATTAACTTAATAATAATAAAAAAAATCTATATTTGATGTTCATTTATTAAATGATTTGGTAAGCAGTGTTTAATTTCACAGTTACAGCATTTCATAACTTGTTAAAGTTTTATAGATATTTTGTCAGAGCTGTTGTTATTGCTCATATGTAAAGCTGAGAGTTTGAATCTGAATTGTAATATTTTCCTCTTGCCACTCTCCTTCCAGGAACTTTGCGAAAAAAAAAATTGTAAATAAATAAATACAATAAAATAAAAATAAATAAAAATGAGCTCTACATTGTTTATAAATAAAATACATGCATCTGAGTATCTGCATTGCTTAAAAATAAATAAATTAATAAAATAAAATAAAAAATCCAGCCAAACACCTACACTGCTTAAATATATCAGTGATTATAACACCTAAAGTAGTGAGCAGTGTCTGGTCAGCGAAGAGGGTTGTTCAACCCTTTGTCACATCCTACAGACCACCAAGGTTTCGATCCTCAAAGAGAATATCGTTCCATATTACGACAATGACAGATACACACACACGTGTAAAGTGATAAGTGATAGCTTATGTGCTGTCAGCAGCTTCTAGTGAGAGCTTAGAGCTTTGTGCAAGGAATGTCACAACAGATTATAAGAGGCGAAAACGTTCTCAGTGACTTTCGCCGAGTCGTATCGACTTTCCCACCGCGTCTCGTTCCCTGTATTGGCACCTCTGACATCATCTCCTTGAGATATTGAATTCCACTCTCACACACAGAACATGGTAGAGCTATGAGCTCCGCCAGAGCTGCTGCTATCACACACATCTTGCAGCATCCATGACAGGGTCTGAAACACTTCATGACATGAAGAATAGTGGTTAACCAATATGGGTTTCTCAGATGGTTTTTGTGATGCTGATATCAAGCACACTGGCTGATAGCTAGCTAATTAATTGATGAACACAATTTAGATAAAAATTAAATGCACTTAATTAAATGATTAAATCCATTTAATAACATTTACTCAAAAGTTGCTCAAAATATTTCGAACAGAAAATCCAAATTAAACATTAACAAATTTGACACTAGAGGGAGGAGCTGCTGCTATCACACACATCTTGCAGCATCCATGACAGGGTCTGAAACACTTCATGACATGAAGAATAGTGGTTAACCAATATGGGTTTCTCAGATGGTTTTTGTGATGCTGATATCAAGCACACGGGCTGATAGCTAGCTAATTAATTGATGAACACAATTTAGATAAAAATTAAATGCACTTAATTAAATGATTAAATCCATTTAATAACATTTACTTCAACATTTACTCAAAAGTTGCTCAAAATATTTCGAACAGAAAATCCAAATTAAACATTAACAAATTTGACACTAGAGGGAGCCAAATGATATTGGCAAAATAATGATTGTTTTCATACAGGTTTCCCCAAACACGCTCCTCATCTGCCTTTGGCAAAAAACAGATACCGTATGTCAGGGTAATTGGGATGATTAAATAATGTTTACGCTTGAGAAAGAAATCAACCTACTATTAGATTATAGTTGACCTTGCATTTTATACAAAATAAAAATATAATGAATCGGATACAGCATTTTATCATCCACAAAATTACACCTGATTTAAGACATTAACATCATACTGTTTTAAGACCAATCATGTCATAAAAGGAAACTTATCATGGAAATCTATCATGGATTCAAACTGTTTTGGACATTGATAATAACATTTTTTCTTCTTGAGCACCAATCAGCATGTTTCAATGATTACGTGACATTTGACACTGGACTAATGGCTTCTGAAAAATTTGCATATTAAAAAAAAAAAAAATAAAGATAAAAAAAAGGAAGCCAAAGACAGCAGGGGTCAGTTAAGGGAGGGGTAATGAGTGTAATGGGATTTGAAATTTTTTCTTCTTGAGCACCAATCAGCATGTTTCAATGATTACGTGACATTTGACACTGGACTAATGGCTTCTGAAAAATTTGCTTTGCCCTCACAGGAATAAATCACTTTTTAAAATATATTAGAACAGAAAACAGTTATTTTAAATTGAAATAATATTTCACAATATCACAGTTGTACTGTATTTTTTATCAAATAAATGCAGCCTTGTTGAGCACAAGAGACTTCTTTTAAAAACATTACAAAATCTTATCGACCCCACATTTTTTAACAGCAGTGCACACACAAGTAGAACAGTGTCAGAGCTCTGAACCACGTGGATAAGTGTAAAAAAAAAAAAAATAAAGATAAAAAAAGGAAGCCAAAGACAGCAGGGGTCAGTTAAGGGAGGGGTAATGAGTGTAATGGGATTTGACGTTTTTAAGTTTACTTTTACAGCATTGACGTCCACTGTATCTAATCATTAAGGGGAATTCTGCAGGATTAAGGCTCTGCCACAAATGTCACGCAAGCCCTTGGTTGGTTAATTTCCCTCTAGATTAATCTCTCTGGGGTTGTCCTTTCACATCGACAGGTCCAAATTCGTCACTAAGATCAGGGCTGAAAACCCCCTCAACGGTTCGCTATTTTTATTCACTTCATTTCAAGTCTATATTGAAAGGTTAAAGGGAAAAACAGTCTCTGGGCAATGTCTAGTGTGTATTGACTGCAACTGCAGATATCACAGCTCATACTTACATGTCATTAAATTGTGTTTTTTTTTCTTCAAACAATTAGCCTTTGGGAGGAAAACTAATTAAAGAAACCAAGTATTTCATTTATAAACACAAACAAACCCACCTTGTTTTTGGACTGCGACGTGTTTAGCACGCTTCTCATTTCTTTTCCCGTATATATGACCACACCTATGACAGTACCTGGGGGAAAAAAAAGGACAAATGGGATGACTGATTGCAAACGGACGATGACAAATAAACCGGCCGTGTGTCTCTGGCCAGCTTAATGAACAATTAGCTCAAAAAGTGTGTTTCCAGTTAACGGATGCAGCTGAGACTCAGACAAATGATTCAATATGTGGGACACCCAGAAATAAACCATTACAATGAGGCCTATTATAGTCAGATCAATGGTGCTGCTTTGGTAATGGACTGATTCATTAAAGTAAACTAATTACTGATGGAGTATGCAGCCTCAACGCTAAATGAGGAAGCGGCGAAGTCCAACTTTTGTTTAAACACAGTAACACAATATAAAACGTGCTTAAATATTTCTCGATTTCTTTAAGCTCGACATATTGTTTCATGTTTGGAAAGCAACGAAACCTAGGCTACCCTCAAGGGGGTCTTTAATGGGCTAGGACTACAGGGCATATCGGTTACTCGCCCCATGGTGTTTTGTGTTGGGTCTGCTAAGTTGGATAGGATGACGTCACCAGACTGTGTTTTGTGGGGAGATATGGAAGGACTTTCTCCGGCTGAAGGTCACACCATGGTGGGGAATAAGAAGAACCTCTAAAAACCCCTGGAGAACCAAGACAGGGGCAACCACAGATCAATGAAGGGCCAATCGCTGGCACAAACGCAGGCCGCTTGAAGGAATAGTCCGGCTATTATTGTTGGACTGGGATCAGATTCTAAACAACAGACCCCTAGGAGATGTCGGAGAAAGCATAGTGGCAAAAACCGATCTCGGACCTGTTCTTTAGGGACACGTTTCATTGACACCGCAGGGACAGGACTGCAAAAAGCCAGACACTTTGGCTTCCCATTAACGGCTCCTCATATTTCTCTGCTCATGAGATTGTTTGAATAGTAGCAGATGAGTCTGGCGGTCTCAAGTGACAAACAAACGGGAGATCGAAGGGGGTCTTGAGTGATGCTGGCGGATCGCCTCGGTATCAACGGCACACTCTTCTACAACACAATAAACTCAAAAGATATTTGACCTGTGATGAATATTTCAGACCTCTGAGGCTTGTGCTTTTCTTATATTTCTATGAAAGAAATTTGGGGCTGGAAAAGACTTTGCTTACCAGATGCCACCACAGTGCTGGCCCACAGGGTGTTCTCAATGCTCAAGCTCTCGTGGATGGGAGGGTCACAGTCCTCCTGGGGACAGAGGTCGTACATTAGTCCAGTCTGTTTTGATTTCATGGTTATCTAGCACAGGAAAAAGCGGTTATCAATTATGGCCTTTATAAAGCAGGTCAATAAAAATGACAAAGACTCAAAGCACAAATAATGAATTGATGAACTTTCATCACGACGAACGGTAAGTAGGGAATTAGACGGCGGATTGAATTACACTAATGCCCGGTTAAGCGACACAGTCCATTTAGAGGGAACGGTGAAATCGGTTTGACTTGATTTGCCTTGTTTACAAAAACAGCGCCATGCTGAACATCATAATAAGGCCTCGTTTAGTGTTAGCACACTCTGTGCTGAGCAGAACAGAACAGGCCATAAATCAGGGGAGAAGCACAGAAATTAAATCTTTAAATGCTTTTTTCCACATAACATGTTGCGGCTGGGTGAATACGGATGATATCTAATTATCCTCTGTCAGTAGGGCATAATATACAGTGAGAAAGAGGGCCACACACATCGCAGCTGCCGAGACATGCGCATTGACGCAGATAGCAAGAGAGATGTGTCCTCTATTTAAGACGGCCCACTTGTTCTTGTCATTTGTCTCTTTCTGGCCAACAGATGTAGCAATGCCAGCCTGTCAGATTGGCTAAAACTGGAAAGAGGTTCATGAAGAGAAAAGGCGTTTTATCAGTGCTAAGGCTCAAAGAAATGGGAGTGTTTTAACCCATAAATCATAATTCCATACTTACGATAAAACTTCTATGAAACTTTTAAGTTTTATTATAAGTTTTAGTTAACATACAAAGAAACAGTTCGAAGATGTGCATTCATAATTCTTTTCTGCAGCAGTGAATCTGACAGTTTAATGAGAAACATTTGGCTGCATCATATTTAAGTCATAAAACGGTCATAACTTAAAGGAATAGCTCATCCAAAAATGAAAATGTTGTCATTATTTATTGTTCTAAACCCGTATGACTCTATTATTTATCTGGAGATAAAAGATAATATTTTGAGAAATATCTGTTTTTGTCCCTCCAATGGAAGTTAATGCTCATCAAAATAGTTCAGTACAAATATTCTTCAAAATATCTTCTAATGTATTCAACAGAAGAAACTACGTAGATTATGACATAATTTTCATCTTTGGGTGAACTACAGCAAATACATTTACAACAAATATATTTATTTAGCTATAAAAAAAATCAGGATATATTTATTTCATTATTTTTACACTACCAGTTTGGTTTGGGGTCTCTCTCTCTCTCTCTCTCTCTCTGTGTGTGTGTGTGTGTGTGTATGATTGTGTGATTCATATACATATACATGAAGAGTTTATTTGCAAAAACAGATAACTCAAAGTTTAATTTTCAAAAATCATGTTCATAGCTGTATTTTTTTAGTTATTTTTTTACTTAATCAAAATAACCCAACTGCAGTTTGATTGAGATTAATTGGAATGCACAATGAAAAAACATGATATCTGAAGTGTTAAAATATATATATTAAGAAATTAACACTTCTAATTAGTATGGACACATTAAATTGATCAAAAGTAACAGATGTCTTACATCACAAAATTTCTCTTTCAAATAAATTCTGTTCTTTTGAACTTTTTATTCATAAAAGAATCCTAAAAAAAAAAACTGTATCAAGGTTTTGCGAAAAACATTTAGCAGCACAACTGTTGTAACAGTTTTTAAAATTTGTAATAATACTGTATATTTAATCAAATAAATGCAGCCTTGGTGAGCATTAAAGACTTTAAAAACCGTGCAGGCCGCAAACTTTATATATGTATAACTTCATGAACTGTATATAAAGCTAATAGTAGAAATCAACCTTAAACCATAACCTACCACTAAAAGAAAAGATTTAATTTATAAATCATTATGCAATAGTTTTTTCTCCAAACGAGAATGTCCCCGAATTTCCCCAATGTATAGCTAAATAAACCCACACTCACACCTGTTTAAATACAGAGGCATACAGACAAGAGTAAATAAAATTAGCCAGTACAAATATTCTTCAAAATATCTTCTAATGTATTCAACAGAAGAAACTACGTAGATTATGACATAATTTTCATCTTTGGGTGAACTACAGCAAATACATTTACAACAAATATATTTATTTAGCTATAAAAAAAAATCAGGATATATTTATTTCATTATTTTTACACTACCAGTTTGGTTTGGGGTCTCTCTCTCTCTCTCTCTGTGTGTGTGTGTGTGTGTGTGTGTATGATTGTGTGATTCATATACATATACATGAAGAGTTTATTTGCAAAAACAGATAACTCAAAGTTTAATTTTCAAAAATCATGTTCATAGCTGTATTTTTTTAGTTATTTTTTTACTTAATCAAAATAACCCAACTGCAGTTTGATTGAGATTAATTGGAATGCACAATGAAAAAACATGATATCTGAAGTGTTAAAATATATATATTAAGAAATTAACACTTCTAATTAGTATGGACACATTAAATTGATCAAAAGTAACAGATGTCTTACATCACAAAATTTCTCTTTCAAATAAATTCTGTTCTTTTGAACTTTTTATTCATAAAAGAATTCTAAAAAAAAAAAAACTGTATCAAGGTTTTGCGAAAAACATTTAGCAGCACAACTGTTGTAACAGTTTTTAAAATTTGTAATAATACTGTATATTTAATCAAATAAATGCAGCCTTGGTGAGCATTAAAGACTTTAAAAACCGTGCAGACCGCAAACTTTATATATGTATAACTTCATGAACTGTATATAAAGCTAATAGTAGAAATCAACCTTAAACCATAACCTACCACTAAAAGAAAAGATTTAAATTATAAATCATTATGCAATAGTTTTTTCTCCAAACGAGAATGTCCCCGAATTTCCCCAATGTATAGCTAAATAAACCCACACTCACACCTGTTTAAATACAGAGGCATACAGACAAGAGTAAATAAAATTAGCAGTGAACGCGCAGGCATCAGGACTGAAATGGACTGACCTCTCAGCTTCTAACAAAGATGTGCGTGCACGTGACTACCATTTAGAATAATCATATTCGCATTTACATTTATAGATTGTTGTATCTAGAACCTGTATGTCTGAGCTCTTTACTTGGACCTTCCCTGAAAAATACGATGGACAAATAATTGTAATTAGAAATGAATTATTTAGCTGTAGGTAATAAATTAGCCCTGTGTCCAAATTTATATTTAATAAATACACTTTTTAAAATGATAAATATTAGGGTTGACAAAGATAACATATCAAAAAGAATAAACAGTTTGTGTGATTTTTCTAAAAATTGCTCATTTAGAGCTGACTGTGACTGAACAGAGCCACTAAGATTTCACACACACGCAGACAAAAGCCCCAAGCAGAGTACCCGTTTCCCACTAGTTGGAGAAAGACATTTTTTATGGATAATTTATTCATAAATTAAACCCAGACAGGGTGTTTAACAAAAGTCATTTACATTCTTTGTATGGTGAAATTGAATTATCATTGAAGATCAACAAGTGTCATGTCGCCCAGCAGTGAAACAGAGGCATGGACCTTTACACATGCAATATTCCTAAAGTTAATAAATTGCATAAAGTTACAGAATTGCATATTTTCTGTGCTATTTTATGTAGTTTGACCAGTGCGACGAGTGACATCAATACAAATAAGTCAAACCCAATAATTTAATGTTATTTAGCTCCCTTTCACTAAAAAGGAAATAAATGTTAATAAAAAGATAAAGAGATTATATAAAACCAATGATATAATGCATAATTTTGTGTAATAATAAGTGCAAAACCTGAAATAAACCATTTTAGATGTCTAAAACAGCACAACCCCCCCCCCATCCAGCTCAAACAGGATGATCTGTGTATATGGCATAATATCAGCAGGATGTGTCATATTGTGGTCACCTCTCACTGTGAGTTTACTGTACAGCTGGGAATTCATCTCTTTATCTCTCCTACAGCGCCGAACTTCGTCAACTGCCTCTCTCACCATGGTGACAGCTAACACAAAGCCCTAGACAACAAGAAAAAAAAGTAACAACAAGAGTGATGATTGAAATTAAATTTTTGTGTTCCACTCCCATCTTTGTGCGGTTAGATGTACTCACCAGTGGGGCCCAGTAGGTGTACAAATATCCTATCTTCAGCGATGGAACAAACTGAGAACAAGCCACTACCAAAAAATACAAGTTGAGGAAGAACTTAAACTGCTGGTAAAGAACCTAAAACAAAAGAAAGAGAAAGCACCAAAAATAAATAATCACCATGCCTTATATTTGATGAAGATTTGATAATATAACCATGACAAATTGAATAAAAAAATGTAAGGTAATTGACAGTAATACACAACATTCTAACACAGCTTTTGGAGGTACACCTGATTGGCTTATACATAATTCATCATACAAGCTGCAAATTCTTTGCCAAGGGCACATACAGAAGGTGCGTTCCACTGAATAAGACATCGCCAGCAGTCATAATACAGTAGATCACTTACACACTCAGTGGAAAAAGATACGTTAGATTGCTGTTACACCCCCTTACTTCACAGCTAGTTACACATTAACCTGATTACTGAGCAAATCTGCTGTGCGTACAATGGGTAGAGATTTCACTTTAAACAGCCTAGTGAGAGCTGCACAAAAAAAAAAGTTCTGCGCCTTTGAAAATAAAACAAGACTAAAATAAAAACATAAAAATGAAATTAATTATAAATAATACTGATAACATAACAAATATATAAAAACAGCAATACAAAATTTCACAAATATTAAACAAAATATTCTTCTTTTTTAGCTAAATTTGAGCACTCTCGGAAACCAAAAAAAAAACATGCAGAGATTGTTTATACTGCCTTACCCCTGGCACAAAAGTGACAATGTTGTATTTCTGATTCTTGATGGCATTTTTGGGGTACTTCTCTTCACATTTCTCAGGGTGCCCCAGCCACACCGTCCGAACTTTTAGCTCCTTCTTCCTGCGACATGTGTGAACCAGACATTCGCAACAGCTGCGTGACAGAGACCACGGGAGGAAAAAGATCATCCAGTGATTAGACAAATTCACTTAAAGGAGGACACAGTGCTACAGGCGCAGTTCAGGCCTGAATTCCAGTAAATGGTCTTTATTTAAAAATATCCCTGACCGAATAATTAACAAATATCAAGGCTGGTCATTACTCCTAATTTAAGGGTTGCACTGAAAACCGGTGATTTTCTTGAATTATCACCCCGTTAATCACTTAAAACGCTCTTGAAAACGAACACTGAGACCTTTTGCGGAATTCATCACCAGCCGCGCGTAACCAGTTGATTCCACTTGAAATACAACTGACGTTAATGCAACATTAATGTAAGTGATGTTACAGAGAGCAAAGACAGCCTAGCTCAGTCTAGTTTGACTTGAACTTTAAGCAGATACATGGAACACTTCCACCAAGTAGTAAGACTGAAACGGTAGAGCTAGAAAACAGTAAAAGAAGAGTACGGATGTGAAGGGAAATTTTTGAGAAGGATTTAAATGTGGATTTCTGATCACAAACTCATTTTGCTTCCGTAATATGAAATATTAGACAAATGATGAATTGTGCATAGTAAAACCAAGAAGCCTTATGAAAAGTGGGTTAGTCAACTGAAAATACTACACTTATTGATTAGAATAAAGTCTAGAAAGTAAATAAGCAAGGGAGTTGAGGATGCATATCATTTTGTGAACGACAAACATTTCAAAAATCATCTGAGGCTGCAGATTCTATGCAGGCCTTGCGATACCTAAAGAGAACAACAAACCTGTAGATGACGTCCTCTGTCACCCCCTGCCAAATAAACCCCTCCCTACTAAAACGAAAGCTCTGATTCTCTGTGAAGGTCAGAGAGAGCGCCAAACACTTTGTTGACCTTCATATTCATTTTATATTCTAGCGGTTGCCATCCCCGGTGAACGGCGTGACGGTACTCTGCCGGTACTCTGCGCAGTGTACACAGTCATGGCGATTGGTTTGGCTGGCACTGAACTAAATTACATAAACCTTGAAAAAATATATAATAATATTTGTGTTGGCCCCTTCGGTCTCCTGTCTGTAAGTGCCAGCGCCCTGATTCATAAGAGAGATTATTTGCTCAAATGAATGTAGTTCAAATAATAGGGCCGTTTGAATAAGCAGAGTTATTCTGCTTGAATTATTTGTTCATTTCATAATCCTTTGCCTAAGCACACAGAAAATTACTGGAAAGCAGCAAACTGGTCAGCTGTGCGAAATCCCATTTGTTCATTAGGAGAAGAAAAAAAAAATCAATACCCAGCTTACAATTGAGATGCGCTGCTGATAATGTAGCGCATAAGTGGAGAAGAGTCAAGCACACACACTTTCATAACAATAAATGACTAATATATGTCACTGATGCCACACAAAAGGCATTGAGATATTGTGGGAATGCAAGTCCAAAATAGACATTCAGCTTGTTGACATCGTTGGCTGGATAAGCAAATTTTCGGTTGGCGTGTTTGACCTTCTGACTGATGATGCGCAGAGAGCACCGCAACCAAAAAACAGGACCTGTGCTTGTGTGTGTATTTCATGCAGTTACCGGTGCGTTAGAAAGGAGCTGAGCCAACCTGGCACAAGCACTACATACACACAAAATAGGCTCCATGACAATGGTGAAATTTTTTTAACAAAAGGTGAAGGCCAAGATGGTTTCAGCAAAACATCTATCTGTCTATCTAGACTGTCAATCAATTAAAAAACAAAATCAAATTAATAACATTATATTAATCAACTACAATCACAAGCAATCACATATATCAATCTTTTCTGATAAAAGCCCACAAATAAAGACAATTCAAAGACAACTGTATTTTCATATAATTGAAAAAAAATCATAATCCACAACAAGGTGCAGTAACCTTGTTTATTAAAAGCATGCATCACAGTTCTGTTGTCTGCTGCTTTTAAAGATTGAGCTCTTTTTTGTTTTTATCACTCTTCAACTAGAAAAAAAAATTCTTAATGTGATTTCAACAATAACGTTCCCCTGTGTTGTTAGGCCACGTGTCCACCAAAGCATTTGTTTTCAATTGAAGCACACGTTTTTTAAAACGCCAGGAGCATTGCTCAGCGTTTTTTTTCTTGCCACCGACAGCTGAAGATTATTGATGAAGAATGAAAGAAAACGCAGCCCCTCACTGTCAATTTTTAGTCAGCCGTCCAATCAAAGTGGAGGATGGGCAGGACAAATTCCACACTGACCAAACTCCACATCCTCCTTGTACAACAGCAACAGATGACAACAAGAAGCACAACAACGGAACAAAATCATTTAAAACAAGGGCCAGATCAAGTACTTTATATCGTGTCAACATTTTAATATACCAGTTACTAGTTACACTTCTGCGGATATTCCAAATCATTGAACCCAAAGTGTCTCAACTGAAAAAAAAAAAATAATAATAATAAAATGCTGTGCCGCAGAAGCTCTCTCAAGCACTCACACAGCTAGGCATTTTCAGCTGGTTAAAAGTGCTTTGGTGGACACACTGCCTTATGGTTACAAATGAGGTATGGACTTCCCTGTTCTCATAGAATTAGAATGCTTAATAAAACTTTATAGTTATAATTATCGCCCTTGACATGAACAGGCCATTACAGTCAAGACTAAACTATATGCAGTCGAGTTTTAAATCAGAGGCCATTCACAAAGAAAAGGTTCTCATGATATTTTTTAATTGCTTTGTAAGTATCCATCAGATAACCAGTGCATTATGTCTTGCATTTTTGTGACACACAGTCAAGTTAAAAAAGTAGTTCATGCTAGATAGACAAAATACTAATTCTAACTGACTAATTTAAAGGGTTAGTTCAAATTAGCCCATGTTTTACTCACCCTCAAGGCATCCTAGGTGTATATGACTTTCTTCTTTCAGACGATTCCAATCGGAGTTACATTCAAAATTATCCTTGCTCTTCCAAGCGATAGAATGGCAGTACGCGGGTTTTTTTTTTTCAACAGTCCGTAAGGCAAGGTAAGGAAAGTTTATTTATATAGCACATTTCATACACAATGATAATTCAAAGTGCTTTACATAAAAGGAAGTAAAATAATCATAAAAAATAATCACAACAATAAAACAAGGAATTTAAAAACTTTTAAAATGATTTAAAATTGATTTAAAATATTACCTTGAAAATTTCATCTTTGTTTCCAAAATGCAATGACTTCAGTTTTCTCCTTGTTTAACTGAAGAAAGATTTGGCACATCCAACTGTTAATTTCATCAATGCATTGGCAGAGGGAGTCAATGGGGCTGTAGTCATTTGGCTAGAATGCTAGGTAAATCTGGGTATCATCAGCATAGCTGTGATAGGCAATTTGGTTCTTTCTCATTATTTGACTTAGTGTGAGCATATACAGGCTAAACAAGAGCGGTGCAAGAATTGAGCCTTGTGGGACTCCGCATGTCATGGACGTCCACTTTGACAAAGGATCGCCTATACTCACATAATAACCTCTCCCTTCTAAGTATGACCTGAACCATTTGAGTACCATCCCAGAAAGTCCGACCCAGTTTTCCAGTCTCTCTAGTAGACAAATAAAGCACATCCATCCATAATAAAACGTGCCTCACACGGCTCCGGGGGTGAATAAAGGCCTCCTGTAGCGAATCGATGCAATTTTGTAAGAAAAATATAAATATTTAAAATGTTATAAACAGTTTTCTCTCACGTCTGCTAACTGTTGTACGCGGAAGCCGTCCCGGGTGGATGACGTAGGACGCATGCGCAGCGCACGCGCCTGTGAGATATACTAGTCTCTCGAGGTTGTTTACAGGAGCAAAGGAAGTTTCCTTATTTTAGCAAATAAAGCCAGTCTCCTCTTGGCTTATATCGAAATCAACTGACATTTTTCTTTACAAATCCTTGTTTTGTGCTTCTAATTTTTGACCGGCGTTTTGTTTCGCTGTCTCTCTGTCCCACTTCTGCGTTTGTCACTAATCAAAGTTTATAACGCTTTAAATATGGATATTTTTCTTAAAAAACGCATCGATTCACTACAGGAGGCCTTTATTGACCCCCAGAGCCGTGTGAGGCATGTTTTATTATGAATGGATGCACTTTATTTGACTACTTTTGGACTGTTGGGAAAGAAAAAAAAACACCCACCTACTGCCATTCTAACGCTTGGAAGAGCAAGGACAATTTTTAATGTAACTCCGATTGGATTCGTCTGAAAGAAGAAAGCCCATATACACCTAGGATGCTTTGAGGGTGAGTAAAACATGAGCTAATTTTATTTTTTTGGGTAAACTAATCCTTTAAGAGCACTTAGATATTGAAGGTTATTTTTCTTAAAAAACGCATCGATTCACTACAGGAGGCCTTTATTGACCCCCAGAGCCGTGTGAGGCATGTTTTATTATGAATGGATGCGCTTTATTTGACTACTTTTGGACTGTTGGGAAAAAAAAAAAACACCCCCCTACTGCCATTCTAACGCTTGGAAGAGCAAGGACAATTTTTAATGTAACTCCGATTGGATTCGTCTGAAAGAAGAAAGCCCATATACACCTAGGATGCTTTGAGGGTGAGTAAAACATGAGCTAATTTTATTTTTTGGGTAAACTAATCCTTTAAGAGCACTTAGATATTGAAGGTAACATTTTAATGCTTAAATATTAATATGAGCTCTCACGTGGCCTGTTACCTGGTGCACAGGACCTTCCATCCACCACAGAGGAACCAGCCCAGCCCAGTCCTCTGACTCCCTCTGGCTCTGGGCAGCGTCTGATAGTCACTTTCGTCATTTTCAAAAGCTTCCTCTGACATCATCAAGGGCATCTCATCAAGGTTCGAGGATTCGTCTTCAATCTGATACCTGAAACATTGTAACATTAAGACAAAAAAAGATGATGTTAAGCATCATAATAATTATTATAAATTATAAAAATTGTATAGACTTTTTCATTTATATAAATTAACAAAAAGGTAAATAATCTGCTGAACTACAAAAAGAACATAGATTTTGTTTCAAATTAAGATGTCACGTCACAAATGTAATAAACAGACACTGCTTGTTTCCCAAAACAGCATTCCTACTTTCATTATAACCTCTCAAATTTAAAAAAGACATTACGCAATAAAATAAGGGCATTTTTAAAGGCGCCTACATGAATGAGTGGAACAAAAAATGCAGAAGTCGAGGGATTTGTTCCTCTCTCACACTGTGTTCCTCATTTATCGAGACGAGTCTCAAACCCAGATCAGCAGAATGCTATTGTGACACTCTAAAACAGCCGACGTCCCGAGAGGATATCAACTTCCACCCACACAAAAGCCTGGCCGTTTCTGCACCAGATCCACTTTAGCCTTAGCGTCAAAAACCTGCACGCTCTCTTTTCACTCTAGAGCTGTCTGTGGATAGATTTAATTCACGCAATTAGGCCTCTGTGACCACTGTAAACACAGAGTCTTTTGCAGTTGAACACTAAAAAAAACATACAAATACCTACCAGCCTCAAACTGTGCTGACTGAACAGGCCTCCTCAGGTAGTGATATTGTGTCTGTTAAATTATTAAAGACGCGTAATACACCTACAATGGAGGACATTAACAATCTACAAACTCTAGTCCTAGGGATTTTAAAAGCAACACTCCCTTTTCCTCTAAAAGAATGAATCAGGAAGAAATACATTTGAGAGTTCAGAGAGTGTGAATCATATTTGATCCTCCGCAACACACCGAACGCCCACATTGTGTAGTGAAGATTACTGCACTTACTGAACTGTATGATAAAATAAATCAGATCACCACTAAATTTGCTTAAAAATCAAGCATGTTTGACCACATTTAATGAGCTCTACGCATATGTGTTGATCAATGTTTATATGTAAACAATAGCCTAAATTAAATCTGTTCATCATATAAAGTGACTTAGAACACTTGGATTAAACTGCGTAATTTATATGGACTGTTTACTATGCATTTTTGAATCCTGAATGTTTTGGTGGAATGGACTTTCAATGGAGAAACAGAAATCTCTCAGGTTATTAAAGGAACAGTTCACCTAAAAATTTAAAATATTTACACATCCAAGATTTAGTAAATATACAATAGAAGGTGAATTTGTTTCTTCATCGGAACAGATTTGAATAAATTTAGCATTAAATCACTTGTTCCCCAATGGATCCTCTGCAGTGAATGGGTGCCATCAGAATGAGAAATAATCCAGTCTATCAATTAATTATTAATGTCTTGTGAAACGAAAAGCTGCATGTTTGTAAGAAACAAACCTAACATTAAGACATGTGTTTTGGCCAGAAATAGTTTCAAGTTAAAAGTCGAGTAGATTACTTGTGCATTATCATGATGTTTTAGTCAGCTGATTGAACTCTTATTCTGATGGCAATTTAGATGGCCTGAGGTGAATACAATTTAGGCACCTTTTCATTAAATGTGTAGTCTGTGGTCTGGATGCACAGAAATCAACCTACGCATGGCTTACTTAAAGCTGGCTCTGCATAATAATTTCTCATTGATTTCTTTTGAGTTTGGCGCGAAATATGGTCCAGACATGTTCTTGACAAGTATCGTGAGATTCACCATTATAAGAGACTTTGAACTAATGGGAAATTACAAATATCAGCTCTACAAAGGCTAATCGGTTCCTGCCACAATAGGCAAGTTATTATTGAGGTATGTCAACAAAAACACATCACTCTGACTTGTCTATGTGGATTTTAGCCTTTGATGTCCATTAAAAACGCGTTTAGGTTAACCCGTCTCGACAGCGGTCAAGCAGAATGGGTGTAATAATACAAATACGGACAACTAAGTTAGCTGACCGTTGTAATCATAAAATGATACAGTCTAGCAGGGCCAATGCAAGAGATTCGAAGCCCGCAGGCCCACCACTGATATTTGTATTCAATTGTATGATAAAAGAAATCAGATCACCATCAAATCTGCTTAACCACCCATATAAATCAAGAAGGACATCAGAATAAGCAAAGTATGAGCCAAACATAGCTGGTGGTCCAATTAATCTCTCCTAACTGTGGTCAGTTCTTCTGCTCTCCTCTTTCCTCCTCAATAAAACACAAAACGATTCACAAAGTGATTATGTGCAATAGCATTACCCCAAACAATGAAATCAAATTAAGCAAGCACTTTGGTTTTGGTCCATACTCTCAAGCAGCAATGCCACAAGTGGTCCTTAGACTGTCAGCATTTGACAAACAGCTGGATGCCATAAATACAGATCCTGTCTGCTGTTAGGCTGTTTATGCGGTTCAGGAAAACCAGATGGACATTAGTTTCTAAATGAATATCTTTGACATCTTCGCCTCGCATAAACCGTGGGAAAACAGTTTGCAGCGATATCTTGTCAAGCTCAGCATCACAAGAACATGGCATGTCTTCACCATATACCTAAGATATGAGATATGCTATAGATGGAACAAAGCCTCATAAGATGGTCTAATGTAGGGCTGTGCGATATTGAAGAAAAATGCGATATGCGCTATAACTCATTAAATAATGCGATATTCGATATGCGATACGATAATGCTTAAAGTGTCTCATGCTCAGATGAGTTTTACTCAGTTTTACTCAGCTGTTGCTGAGTCAGTTCTGTGAACTTCTATAACTATAATTTGTGACATATATATATGGTTATTTGTATGTATGCATGTATGTACCAATAGTTCCTGTAAAACCACAACAAATCCCTTGTGTTTGCACACACTTAAGTGGTGAATAAAGCTCATTCTGATTCTGATTCTAATAAGAAAGCACCCCTACAACAACTTCTGAAAGTGAGCGATAGTGTTTTACTCGAGCATTACATAAAAATGTCATTTTAACATTAGTGTAATCATTTTAATATGAGTTTAGGAACTGAATAATAAAAAGGAAAAATAAAACACTGCATAGTATTTACTCTTAGAATTCAATATGCACTGATTCTTATTTAGGCTACAAAAATGATTTAGGTAAGAGCAGGGAGCGATTTTCTCTTTGTCTTTTGTTCACGGCCCCAAATATTGCAAGCTGTAGCGATATGCATATTGCGATATTTCGATAAATTGCAAAGCCCTAGTCTAATGATAAACCAAAAGCTTAAGACATTTTCTATGAACGTACCTGACGCACGTGAATTGTGTTTTGGGTGCTTTGTGATGTTTAATGAATGTTCTGGAACGTTCTATAGACATATTCTATGTTATTATAAATTAGACGCTCCATAAATGTACTTACACCTACTGAATATCTCATGAGCGTGTTATAATACGCCTCAATGAATGTACCTAAGACGTCTCCCGAGTAGGAACCGAAGTGACAAACATCTCACATGATTATATCACATCTCTCGGGGAGTCTTGTATCCTCTCATGTCCTATCAACTGTAATCTGACACTGACAGCTCGCGCTGCTGAATTTACACTGCCGCTAGCGTTAGCCCGTTAGCACTCAACCCCGGAACCGTGGCATAAACAAACCCAGTATCAACACGTACGTTATTGTAACAACTCAAATGACTGTCTTGTGTTTAAAAGAGGTGTTTGAGATGAATATGCATCCGTCTACATACCTGGTAGGTCTGCCAGCATTATAATACGCAGTTTTTCTCGAATTCTTCCGCACAGGATTCAGAGGGATGCTGTCTGCCATCTTTGCTCGGTTACGTATGAATGTCATCACGTCCGGACTAGAGTGAGGGGAGAGATCTGCTGTAATCTGGAAATGTGATTCTGAAGGTATTTTATTTTATGGTGCTTTAATATCTTACTTGGTTGAAGTTATGGGCTTCCGTTGATGGATTATTTCACATTAGGCATCTTACCAGTGTTGTCTTGCCGTTATTTGAAGGCTTGTGTGTCCAAATGAGGCCAACATTTTGCATTTAAATAACAGTAATGACATAATTATTTTTTTAAATAACAATGTCTGACTCAAGTTTATGTCACAACACAGACAAATACAGAGAGACAAAGAGATAAAGAGTGAAGCACATATAGTTACAAAATACAAGTAAGGTGACAAACAAAAATATTTTGTTTGAGATTTATTTATTGAGGGTGGCAGCAATATTGCATCTTAGAAATAAATCCAGTTCAGTCAGCGTGTTTGAGACACCACCTCAGTTGTTCCATGTAAAAATACTGATGTGCAGACAGAAAAGCAAACCTGGTGTACTTTTTATTCGTTATAATGTATCTGAGTACAAAAATAGTCTCCTTTTCATGCAGAGGACACATTGAATCCCTTGTTTCACCATTACCTATCTTATGAAAAAACTGCTCGTTCATATTTTAATGTTTTTTCCCCAACACTAAACAATATATTATATAAGGAAAATAGCACTACAAAATAAAATAAAATAAAAAACACTAAAAATGACCTGACATGACACGCTTAGTGAATAAGACATAAGCTACCATTACAGACAAGTATATTTCTTTTCCCTTGTACATGAATGTTTCTGGAAACATTTATTTATTTTGTTCTTGATAGGAAAACACACTTTTAAATTGTGAAATAGAATTGTCCTGCAACACGTTCAGATGCATCACAAGGGCTTCATTGATAACTATACCTTAAACTGAAGTGTAAAGGTGTTTTTAATGAAAGATCTTTATTAGCAGTCTTATTATACTTAATGGTCTCATGTTGGCCCACTAATTAATTTTGCATGTAAAAGTAAATAAGGCAGAGAATAGCATAAAACATATAATTAGCATTAATAATAACATAGCACAGGCTGGTATAAGATGGAACGTTTCATTGCTGAAAGCAGCTAAAATGACACTAGCTTTCATGGTGGTGTACTTGATTTGCATGAAAATAAATGGTTTGCATCCAATGCATAGCAGCAAAGCAGTGGGATGTCAAAGAATAATACATCTCTTTTCAAAGCCTCTGAACTGTCTCTTTATCTTTTGCTCGGGGATTTAAGTTACATACTTTCAGCTGTAGCTATATTAAGACCACAGTTTGGGAATTAAAAGTTTCTATTATATATGCAAACATGTTCCCTTTCTCATGAATAGGGCGATGTTTAACAGCAAAATCAGAGGGTAAAAACAAATAAAATAAAATACATATTTACAACATAAAATAATCATTTCATCTCAAAGCAATGCCCTTGGATCAAGTGTAAGGTTTCAGTCAGTGGACATAATTGAAAAACTAACCGTGGCCTCAGTTTAAACAATAAAATAAAAAACAAGTGCCATTATAGCATAAGATAAACTGAAACTTTTCCCACATGAATCAAGCACATTCTAAAGAGTTTATTCTGATTTTTAAAAAATCAAGACACGTTGAAATTTGCAATGTTCCTTATGCAAGGAGAAATAATATGTCGCCTTTACTTTAATTGATTCCAATGTCTTTTTTGTCATCAATCATCATGGAGAAGTGTTGTCCAGCACCCCTTTCTAAGCCTGTTTTTTCCATGGCTGTGATTGGTGGGCTGTTTCCAGTGCTAGCCTTGTCCGTGGCCACAGTAATGGCAGGAAGCTGGGGGACTCCTCCACTCTGAATGACGGATATTTCATTGTTCCTCATTGCTAAGCCATTAGTTATAGCTGCTGCATATCGGGTCCAGAAGTTTTGGTCCACATTCATGGCCCGTGCTGCTAAATCCTTCTGAAACGCTTCGCTGAATTTCAGGGCGTCACCGCCCAGAAGGGCAATTGGGTTTTCCACAGACAGACGTCTACCTCTACGGGCAGGAGTGTTATTCCACATATGGGTGCCCATGTGCACCTGTAGACAAACAGAAATGAAAAAGAAATCAATAACAAATATTTTTACGATATTTGTGTGTCTGTAGCTTTGAGCTGTAGGCTAAATTACAAAAAATGACTCATGTTGCGACAACCACCATGTGTATTTTATTAATTAATTTATTCTTTTTTTTGATTGACAGGATGGTGAAGAATTGACAGTAAGGGGAGAGAGAGGGGGAATGTGAGTGGGCCTTGACCAAGGACGGGCTCATACCCGGGTCCACACATGCACAATAGGCTTTTACATGTTGGGAACTTAACACAATTCAACAATGGTAAGCATTTTATGAAAATGATAAGAATAAAAATAAATAAAATAAAAGCAAATAATATGTTTAATTAAAAAATGTAAACATAATTTAAGAGCTCATATATAGTTTAAGCTACTCACTTGTTGAATAAAATACAATAATGATCACACATACCTTGAGATTACCCTTGGTTGTGAACGCTCGACCGCAGACAGAGTAATAACAAATATTTTTACGATATTTGCAGCATTTGTGTGTCTGTAGCTTTGAGCTGTAGGCTAAATTACAAAAAATGACTCATGTTGCGACAACCACCATGTGTATTTTATTAATTAATTTATTCTTTTTTTTTGATTGACAGGATGGTGAAGAATTGACAGTAAGGGGAGAGAGAGGGGGAATGTGAGTGGGCCTTGACCAAGGACGGGCTCATACCCGGGTCCACACATGCACAATAGGCTTTTACATGTTGGGAACTTAACACAATTCAACAATGGTAAGCATTTTATGAAAATGATAAGAATAAAAATAAATAAAATAAAAGCAAATAATATGTTTAATTAAAAAATGTAAACATAATTTAAGAGCTCATATATAGTTTAAGCTACTCACTTGTTGAATAAAATACAATAATGATCACACATACCTTGAGATTACCCTTGGTTGTGAACGCTCGACCGCAGACAGAGCAGCCGAAGGGTTTTTCGCCAGTGTGTGTGCGCTCGTGGATCTGCAAGGCACTGGCAGAAGAGAAGTTCTTCCCACATGCTCTGCAGTTGTGTTGCTTAGGGGTCCGTCTGGGAGGGGGTGGTCCAGTGAGTGAGGTGACGGCTGGTATCATCACCTCAGAGCGCGAGGTGGGAGACTGCAGGCCAAATGCAGGGAAAGGCCCCTCTTTTAGAATGTATGGTCTATTGCAAGCATTCATCTCCAGTTTCACTGCAGTCGGCAAATTTTTTGTATCCTGTTCTGTAGACCTTTGAGCATTTTCTGAAAATAAAAATAAACAATTAGTATAAAATCAGCAGTGTAATAAAACAAATAAATACCATAATGCTGTGTATTAAGTGTTAAAGATGAAGTGTGTCATTTCTGGCCACAGAATGCCAAACAGAATTGCAGGTTTTTATTCAAATTTTAATAATAATGAATCATTTATATAGATTAATATTTTTAACATTTCTTCTAGAAACCTCCAATGCATGAAAAAACAGACTAGTCCAGCTCCAAACTCGCACCATTAGTTGAGCTATGTTGCGGTGTCAGGCATTGTGTAGCACCACAATGTTTACACATTTCAGGTAAACTGAATACGGCTTACTTACAGTTGTCTCTGCATATTTAGCTAGGATAGGAGATTAAAAAAAATATGACACTTCAACTTTAAAGTAATTCAAATTATACAAAAAATACAACAGATTTTTGCTGCTTATTTAGTTTACTAAGAAAGCTGTTTTGAACATTTTACCACAAAGTAATTTCATTATTTTCAAATCACTTATATTTGTAAATTGGATTTTGTGTTAAGATTACATGAATCATTTTTATTGGCATAACTAGACAGTGGAATTTTAATTCCCTGCATGCTTAGCATATGACTGCATTAGCAGAGTACATTTTAAAAATAAATGTTATTTTACGTGTTTCTGAGTAAAAGGAAATACTACTGATGTTTAATGTTCATTTATGTTAGAAGAGTTTCTGTTATTTTGTAATCTTTGTGTGGTTGCTGTTGTTCTAAAGAGTGGAGCTTGTGTTTAGGCTGTGGGCTACATGATGACTACAGTGTGTGTGTTGCTTCGCTCAGAAAGAATAACTGCTAACGCCACTACTGAGACTAGGTTCATCTTACTCGTTCATCCCATACATTTCATATAATAATAATAAATGATGTTATATTTAGTATGCTGCTATCTAACACAAGGACATACATTTAGGTTTGTTCGAAAAAACATTACTTGTTTTAAATTTCATGTTCTAGTCTTCTAAAAACCTAAAATAACTTTTATCTAACTAAAATAAGCTTTTCTCAATTTAATTAGGTTCACTGAGCAATTTTTTAGTGTACAGTGTTTTACTGGTATCATATAGCAGTTTTAGCTTACCATGTTCCTTATTAAAAAACTGCATGTTGAAAGAGTTTTCTTTCTTGAATGTAGAGTTGATAGGCTGGATTCCTGTTTGATTAACAGTCACCTCGTTGACTGTATTTGCTGCAGGACAATCTGTTGTTTCAGATTTTACTATAGATGTTGCCTCTGGGACTTTAAAGGAGAGGTTCAGAGAGACTAAGTGCTCATGTTGGCCCTCAGGTTGACTGTTGGGATAGGGTGAAATGTGAATAGAACTAGACGAATGTGGCATTAAACTAGTTTTTATGCTGTGGTTCTCCATCTCACCAGTGGTGGTAGAGCCCAGAGCATGAAGATCGTTATGCATAGGTCCGCACCTGACCATCATTTTTCCATTTGATTGGCTGAGATTGACGGATGAGTCTTCCCCTACGCTTTGAGTTTCTGATACACTGGTTGGAAGCGAGTAGATAGGCGGTGGACTGTCTGAAAACGAGCTCAGGGTGTTTTCATTGTTCTCCACAACATCCCCTTCTTCTTCAAATGAAATATCATCAAGACAGTCATCATCATAAGTGCTCATGCTGTCAAAACTCTCCATATCTGTATCTTTCTCGTAGATGGTTTCTGCCAGAGGAGTGTTTGGAATCTGCCCACCCATGTGCATGCGTATGTGCTGCTGTAACACAACTGCATTCGTGAACTTTTTCTGACAGATCGGGCATGAATGTTGAATCCGAAGAGGAGGCTTTGCACGGTGGACACCAAAGTGTGTCTTTAAGTTACCCTTTGTGGTGAATGCTCGTCCACAAACCTTGCATTTAAATGGCCTCTCCCCTGTATGGATGCGGTAGTGCATCTTCAGCGCGCTCTGACAGCTTAGCACGCGGTGACAGATAACACACTGATTGGGTTCCATCATCTTCTTATCAATGTTTTCCACAAGCTGTTGGAGCTTCGATGTCTCAGATGTTTGCATAGAGTCATGGAGACCACCAAATGGGAACTTGGCCTTGAACTGATCAGAGATGAGTAGAGGAGAGGACGACTTATTATCAGCTGAAGGAGCATCAGTGGACTCAGTTACATTTACCTTAACAGGTTTTTCTGTAGACGTGGACTGCGGAAGCAGGATGTTGGGATTGTTAGCGTTTCTAGTCATACTGTTTGATGGCAGGTGCACTTCTTCTGTGTTGAAGCTATGTGTGATCTCTCCTTCTCTGTTTGATTTAGGGGAGGTCGCAATGGTGGACATATCTGTCTCAGTGCCGGTGGGATTAGGCGACGACGGTGCAAGTTCACCTCTGGCTGGCGACAGCCTGTGTGGAGATCTTTCAGAGGGTGTGCTTGTAAATGAATCACTTAAGCTTTCAATAACTGGTACTGTGGGAGGCAACTGCAGACCCACTGAGGACGGCACTGTCGAAAGAATAGGCTTGCTATCTAACCAAGTAGGTCCTGCCTTCTCTGGAGGAAAAGACATCCCATAGGGGATCCCGGAACTGGTAGGGATATTGTCAAGATATTCTGGGACTGGGTACGGGTTCATCTGAACATGAGGGTACTTCTCCTTGTGCCTTTGGAAGTGGACTTTGAGGTTTCCCTTTGTCGAGAAACGGTTGCCACAAATGTTGCATTTGAAGGGCCTTTCGCCTGTGTGCGAGCGTAAATGGATCTGCAAGGCGCTGTCACTGCCGAACACTTTAGCGCAGAATCTACACTTGTGCTTAAAGAATGGATCCTCGGAACTGGGCTTGCTGTCAAACATTGAGACGCTGGGCAGTTTGCCCTTACGGTACTTCATCATTGCAGCAAGTGGGTCTAATGCACTGGCAGTGGCTGCAATACTGGCCAGCGGATTGGGAAATATGACTCCGTTGGGAGGGCTTTGAGGTAGTAATGGTAGGTTGGCAGAAGGGCTAAGGAGGCTACTCTGGCCAGCTGATAGTGGGCTGGGAGTGCTTATGGACTGGGTGTTGCTAACGCTAGAGTGCGATCCGCTACAGGTGGGCAAGAGCGGAGAAGCCCCGCTGTAGCTGAAGAGATGAGGGCTGGAACTTGATATGGAAGCAGTGGCACTCTCCAGTGCTCTAGAGCTGATTTGTCCACTGCTTGGCTGGGAAGACAGCAATGGTGGCCTCGCAAGCATAGATGCTTGGGATACAGAAGCCTGCCCATTCACTGCAGAGGGCATGACCCCAGATAATGTTATGGAAGCAGTGGCACTCTCCAGTGCTCTAGAGCTGATTTGTCCACTGCTTGGCTGGGAAGACAGCAACGGTGGCCTCGCAAGCATAGATGCTTGGGATACAGAAGCCTGCCCATTCACTGCAGAGGGCATGACCCCAGATAATGGAAGTACAGGGGGAGGAGCGATGCCCTGGAAATTGTAAGTGTTAGAGTCTGAGGGCACGCTTTTTGAGGCAGGATTAAGGGCGGCTTGCGTAGGCTGCCTATTCATTACAGCGACCTGGCTGCGGATCTGCTCAATGAGCTGTAATTGCTGAACCTGCTGCTGCTGCAGCGCCATCAACTGCTCCAGAATCATGGGTATCGCAGCTGAGTTCAGCTTGCCTGCAGACCCCGCACAGTGAATGCTCTGGGAAAACTGAGCAACGGCCACTTGGGTGCTGTGAAGAATCTCCAGGGTCACATTGGTGCTGGGCATGTCATAGTGATTGGTTATAGGTGGTGCAGGGGAACAGGCGGTGTTTTCATTGTCAAGTGGTAGAGGGCTGAGGTTTGATGTTTTATGCTCGGGCAAACTTATATCCATTTGTTCATTCAGGTCGATGATGTGCGTTTCCTCAGGCATCTTGTCGACTTTCTCAGCCAGCTCAGAGTTGAGCTCACTGACCTCCATTTCTGCTGAGTCACTGTGGGCACTCAAGAGGGACTCTGTCGGCGATCCTCGGGAAATGGTCTTCTCTTCATTCTCCTTTACTATCAGCACAGGGGGGTCGTCCGTGCACTTCTGCTGGTGCTCCAGCATTTCGGACCACTTGAAGAATTCAGCACAGCACCTCTCGCACACGTGCGTCTCTTCGCCTCCGCTGCGGCTCTCCGTGCCGCTGTCCTCCTCATCGCCTCCCCTCAACAGAAGCGCTGGGAGATAAAGACACAGAGAGAAAGCGTGTGAATAGAAATTTCTGAGATGATAGATTTTTCACAGCTATTCTTGGAGGAGTGAACAATATAGATAAACTAAATCAATTGTACCACTTTACCAATTACTGAAAGTCAGCCTCTTTGTGCTCATGCTCCAAAGACTCAGACGATAATTTTCTTTGCACAATCCATCAAATTATGCGACCTATCTATTGAATATACGGGAGCTTAATGAAATTCTATAGGGGATATTGATTTCCAATGTTTTTATACAATTCACAGCTGCACTGTCAGTTGAGGTCAAATTGAGTCTTTGATTGACTAATCTGCACTCTCCATTGCTATCAAACACTCTTATTTCCTGATGAATTTGAAGAACTAATTCCTCTCCACTTGACATTGTTGAGAGAAACAGTTATCTCTTTTTGCTAAAGGTGTACAATCTTGACAAAATGGTTTCAGCTTTAAATGTGTAAAAAGCACAACTAACTTCAAATTGTTTTAAATCATGTCATATTTGATCATAAAAAAAAAAACAATTTTCATTGAGTCTTTGTCAAAGCCTTTATAGTGTATTTATCTTTAAACAAATCTGTTCAGTGTCATTTTCTCATGGAATCAGTAAATTATATAATGACATAAACATGAAGCATGTCAATACTGAACAAGAATGCACAACTTAAAAATGGTGCTGGGCATGTCATAGTGATTGGTTATAGGTGGTGCAGGGGAACAGGCGGTGTTTTCATTGTCAAGTGGTAGAGGGCTGAGGTTTGATGTTTTATGCTCGGGCAAACTTATATCCATTTGTTCATTCAGGTCGATGATGTGCGTTTCCTCAGGCATCTTGTCGACTTTCTCAGCCAGCTCAGAGTTGAGCTCACTGACCTCCATTTTTTATCATATTTTATTGTAATATAAAATGCCATGAAAGATATATTCACTGTATGTTTCTTTATCACACCTTTTATCGCCTTAATGTAGCCACACTGAATATGTTTATGAATAAGAATATTGTTGGATAAAAATTTCAGAAAAAGTCACAGTGAGAGAGAGTGAATAGAGGATAACAGAATATCTGAAATAATTTTGTAGTCAGGTGTTGTTCTGTTTCTTCTCAGTTTTTGTGAGCCTTCCTCAGAGTAGTTACAATGTGGGTCATTTGCTCGTCTAATTCCAGTAACTGTGTGGGTGGTCTGAAAACCCTTAACACCGAAAGGTGAGAGCTAACTGAAACTGATCTAGTGAGGCAACCATTTAACTTAAGGCCGTGCTGCAAATCTTAAAATGTTCACAGATTAGTTCATATAGATATAAGCATTTACTAAATAGCCTAAATAGAATTACAAAAAAATTCCTTTGGCGTCCCCAGTGAAAAGACGGACAAAACTGTATTCACGAGACAGATATACAAATTCTTAAATCAAAAAAGACATTCTGTGGGGCCCTGTAGCATGAGCCACTACAAAGATTAAAAAACTTGTGAGATTCCTAGGGTGCTCAGCTGGTAACCGTGGTTTTGGTAGCTAGCTGGATCATTTCGACATGAGACAGACAAAGGTTACAACGGAAAAATTTCTCAGGCCCCAAAAGAAGAAAGCTAAAATGCTATTAGACAATCGTTACTGTAGAGGCCTGATGAATGGCATTTGAAGGCGAACTGAAAGATGTACAAGGGCAAACACAAAAGTCAAAATGATTGTGTTGACGTCGACAAAATGAGAGAAAACAATCAGCTAAGTACATATTGCATACATGGATAAACCTGTGAAGTCAAATGATTATTATTATTATTCATTTAAAATAGAAGCATAATTTGTCATTAATTCAATTAGAAAACAATATGCCAATTAAACTTTTAACAGATAAAAATTACAGATGGTGTTAGCTCCCTAAGTTACTTTAGTTTGTTAGTATATTTTCTTAAATGTATTGAAATACACAGTGTGTTTGAGCTTTATCTTAAATTTCTGCACTTATTGGACATTAATTTAGTACATTTCAGAATACTTGAGCAGATGTTTTATTTAAAAAAAAAAAAGAAATTTGTTCAGAGGTAAAAAAAAAAAAAACCCAAAAAAACTGGTGACTAAAGCAGTCATTTTATTTGACTAAATGTAAAAAAAAAAAAAAAAGCTAAACCACAGTTTATACTTTATGAAAACGTTCAAGATTTAAAAATGATTAATTATTTCTACTTCAATATTGTTGCAGCAGGTTTTCATTTGAATTCTGTAATTACTCTTCTAAAGGATCAGGCCTGATTATAATGAATTCATCTGTTTTAAAATGATCTGAAGAACAATAAACGTCTTTCACTGTCTGTTTTCAAACCATACTCTGATTCTCTTCTCTTAGGTCGATCTTTGTGTTGCAGTAAATACTTTAACGCGATTTAAATGAAGACACAACTTCGACACCAACCAAAGTGTGAGGATTTTTCATGTGGGCACGTAAGTAACTTCATTACCATGACAAAAGGAATTATTCTCACGCAAACAGACGAATGTTAAAGGTTTTGTTTGGGTCTTGCAATGGGACACTTTTGTAGGTTTTGCAGTGCTTTATTTTGGTGCTTTATCAAAAGCAAGAATAGATGCACAGCTCTAATCTAGCGTTACTGATTATAGCCTAATTAATTCATTTTAAATCATGTTAGCTAAATCAATTTTTTTTAAACAGTCTAGCCTATATGAAACACAAAACGAAATAAATATGGCCTATAGGCCTACGTGTACAGTTCCTAATTAAGCAAATTAAATCGCTGAGAACATTGTATGCCCTTAAATTCTAAATTACTTTAATGAATTTAACAGAAGTTCTTAGCAAAGAGCTAGAATAGCCTACTGAAAAGACATTAGAAATTACGGCTTCATTATTTAGAAAACAAAAGCTGTTCGGCATTTTTGTCAAATGACACATAATGAACGTTTGACACGAAATTTCCAAAAGCTCGTATTTGTATGTTTCATGTAGCCTAGGAATATAAACGTACTTTACGCGTGTTTTATGATGCACTCTTTAAAAATGAAGGTTCGAATAGAATTTTACAATCATCTCATAAGGAAATCTCCACACGTAACTTTTTATTTGATTCTTTAGAGAACATCTATATACCGGTGCTTTAAATAACATAGAAACCTAACATTAAGAAGTTTTTCATCTCCAAAGAACCATATAACTTACAGTTAAAATGGCTCTCTGTTGAACGTAAGAATCATCGAAGAACCTTAATTTTTTTTAAGGGTGAAAAACTTTGTCTTGAGTTCCATCTAGTCTACTTGAACTGAACACAGCGTGGTATAAACGTACATATGCTTACTAAATCAAGTTCTTTTTACTCTAAGATTATTTCTATGTTCAAAGTGTCCGTTCTATGCCATGCATCCTACAGCGTGTTTTCATCACCACTCGAAAAGAACCATAAAACATCGCAAAATTCTGACAAAAGAAACTTGTATCTAAATAGCCAAATAAAAGACTCGTATTTCAATTCACATACCGTTATCCGGACTTTTGTCCGACTGTGTTCCTTCTTCGTCCGATCTGAGATGCTGAGGTTTCGCTTGCTTTCTTCGGGACATGTCTCTGCGCTTCGCGTCGGCGCTCCGATCTGCAGAAACATCGGACGCAGGCAGTCCCGTCCAGTCCCGGGGTCAGTGAATAAGAGATATTAGATGTTGTGACCGTTGTGCAGATTGCGCATGTCGGCGTTATAATGATAGAGGGTCATGTATTACGTTGCGCTGCATGAGGGATTGGCCGCGCGCCAGTAGACACTCTCTCTGGATATGGAAATGAGGGATGGACTGAGTAATTAGCCCGTTTCACTTCCTCACTTTCCCCCTTTTTGCTCTCTGTTCACGTAGGACCACAAACTGGACGCAAACAAGTGCGTCTACAGCTCTGGTGGCACTTCACATGGCGTAAAGTCCATTCGTAGTTTGTTAAACATCACCGTAAGTACGGAAAAGCAGTCTTGTCACGCTCACACGCCTTCTTTTCAAATAAATGACAGCGTGAGTTACATTCAAGCACCTTTAAAACAGGCTCTTTCGACGTGTATTGATTCAAGTTTAAGCATAGCTTTCCATCAAACAAGTTTTGTTTAATTTTTATATCTATGCAAGAAAAGTTTGTTCTGACAGGCGAATATCTAGATACCTATAAAAGCAGTTGCCTCGGTAAATAGTTGGCTGTTTGCCTATTTGAATGGTTCGGTTAGTCTAATTAAAGCTTAAACCCCCAGAGAAAGTCAAAATAAAATGTTGACTGTTTTTAACGGTAGATATTATTTAAAACAATGGTTCAATAACCACAAAAGTTAGATTGCAAGTTAGTACACTAAATAGACACCAGCAAACAGTCGCGTTCGCCTGAGGAGGTCACCATAGCAACAGTAGGCTGCTAGAACGCTTTCCGTTAGGACCTGTATGGGACGGTACGTCGACAAAACATAAGTACTGCCATAATTTATGGCTTGCGATACATTTACATACCACAAGTATATCACAAAAAGTGTTTTAAAAGTTTTCACGGGGGGGGGAATAATTCAGTTTCGTGAGAGGAACCTGCACAGAACGTGCGCTCGTAATCGTAGAGTTACACGAGAAACGTCTAGAACGCAGTCGAATGATTCGCACACTGTTTAGGAATATGTTGGCAGCAAACACCGTTCGTTCTGTTCTCGGACGGTCCGTCTGCTCTTCGCTCTTGCCGAAGACGCATCCTCCATAGTTCATCCAATTTAAAACTATGCGTGTTCCTGCAGATTCCAGAGTCCCAAAAGGTGCATGTCTTCGTGTAGGAGCTGAACTGAAACGGGCGTTCGCCGATTTTCTGCTGCAAATGTGCGTGTAAACCCCAGCAGAAGTCCTGGAGAGATGCAGGAGGGCTGTTCTGTGTACGCTGATTGCATTAGGCGACCACTAGGTTATCATAGAACGATGGACCCCTGTTCAACCTGCTCTTTTTTTCTGTTTACTTTTTGCCTAACTTCACATCTGTTACAAAGCCGACTTCATAAGGATAAAAAAAAATGTCTTCGTGTAGGAGCTGAACTGAAACGGGCGTTCGCCGATTTTCTGCTGCAAATGTGCGTGTAAACCCCAGCAGAAGTCCTGGAGAGATGCAGGAGGGCTGTTCTGTGTACGCTGATTGCATTAGGCGACCACTAGGTTATCATAGAACGATGGACCCCTGTTCAACCTGCTCTTTTTTTCTGTTTACATTTTTCTGTAACTTCACATCTGTTACAAAGCCGACTTCATAAGGATAAAAAAAAAAGATATGGCACTTATTTTGTGATGTGCAGTGTGGTGCCATATAAACCTAACAGTAAACTTCAGTTATGTGTCTATCATGATAGCTGCTCTCAAGGGATCAGACGACATTCACATCTGACCAGTATCGCTGGTGTATAGCGGCCAAAGGGCCCTAAATCAGCGATACATCATTTCCATTACAACACAAGTAGAACAATATATAAGCCTATTGATCGGCGTCTCTGTTACTCTTCTGGTGTAGAGAGATAAGCGCAATATAATTTCGTTTGACCTATCTGTATGGCCAAGTGATGGATTGCCAGGGTAACCGAGGGCTTTTATCACAAAACTCTCCCAATGATGTACTATTGATTGTCCTTAACTAGCTTTTCTGGCAAAAATCAAAAGTCCCTTCCTCGCCATCCTCTTCATTATCAATAAAATTACAAAGTGGTGGGAATTGTCAAAATCCACCCCCAAGGGAAGTCTTTAAAACGGCTGCTGTTATCCCGGCTTTTCTGTTATCCATGCCATGTAGGATTAGGAACAGGCTTTTCAAAATGAAACAAAATGATCAGATGAAGAAGAGCGCCTAGAAGGACAAAATATTTAACATTCTGCATATGAAACCCTTAATGTTTGTACCTACAGGGAATTTTTGCCTGTGCGGTTGTTAATTGTGTTTTTGTTTTATTTTTCATGCTGTTTTTCTTCACATTCCCCATCTGCTTTCATAAATATGCGACAAGGCAGATTTAAATGAACTAATCATCAAAGATACCGCTTTTTCTACTCTATATCACCGTCTCACCTGGTAATCACAGATTATAGCTTCACAAAAATGCGTATGATGAACATTTTCGCTTTTCATTTAAAATAATCGCCACAGTTGGTGCAGAAAAACAGTGTTTCAGTTCAAGCGTGCAATTCAAGAGTTGTTTTCCGCTGGAAAAAGAAAGAATTCTCTCCAAGTCTGTGTTTGTTGAGATTTATCATTTTCTGTCCATTAAAACAAAATCATGTTTAGAATCTTTTCATGGTCCATGCAATTTCTCCGTTCCTTTTAGTCTCGAATGCAGCTTTTTAACCAAGAACATATCCCACAGCTAAAAAACATCTTTCCCTACTCTAAACACGATGAAGAGGGTTTGACTCTGAGTATAAAGCACATCATCACAGATAGATCAACAAATGAAGTGTCAGGGCGAAACTACATGAAGAACAAACAAAGCAGAGACAGGCCAGTGAGATGGACAGATGTGAGATAGCACTGTTCTATGTGCCGAGGGCCTCTGGAAATTTCTGATTGGTTTAATTTAGCACATCTAACGCGGCTGCTTCTCAAGTCCGCGACTTTTATCTAATGCTGTGAACCTCTATTGATTTCTCTTCTCTATCTTTAATGCAGGACTGGAGCAAAGAGAGCAAAAAAAGCGCTTGCTAAATGGAGGACTACTTTGAGATGGCTGCTATTCTCCGGCTTATTGCCTCCTGTCGGCCATGGTTTCACATGAGGTCCGGGGTGTCAGGTCCGCTTCCACCAATAAAGGCTGTGATTGACACTAGCGGGAGAGACTTGAGCTGGGAAAGGAAACTGAATCTCAATGTATGAGGGGTGAGTGAGGGTCTATTGTGAGGCCAGTTGGACCTGATACATCTAAGGCGAAATAAACGTTTTAAGCCGTGAGATACGGGTCCCTCGGCGGTACTGTGGTACAGTCTTGTATCCGACTGTCTGAAAAAACACCATTGTACTTTTACTGTATGTACGAGAGCAAAGCAGTACGGAGATCAGTATTTGCACTGCTTTTTGCCACGTGCCTTGATACGCAACCGCATGTAGTGATTTCACCCCCGTACTTACGGTCATTTACAAACACTTCTGCAAAAGCGCTTCGCTGAATACGCACACAAAGTTTTTGCTTTGTAAACAACCTTCTAAGTTCTGTTAACCCAAGTCGTCATGACAACAGACTATTTTTATGAAAGACAGCAAATTTTAGGCACAAACAGGATATTATGTATTCTATGTTCTCGAGGGAATAACGAGCAAAAACAAGAGTAAAGCTAGTAAAAACAGTAGTTAATTACTGGCTGTGAGTGTGTGCAGTCTGAGATGGCAGAGGGAAGACTTCAGGCGCAAAGTAATTTACTTACATTTATGACCTGAAAAAGAACAGACCCTGCTATTAGCATTTATTGGCATGCTATAGAGGAAAAGCATGTAACAAATGAGTTTAATCTCCATCAGCTCGGATTCTCTGAACACTTCACAGGAAGTATCTTCTGACATAGGATGCGTAATCTAATCCGAAGGTAAAACTAATGTTAGATGTGTAGAGTCTGGGGATTTAGAAATATGCTATTGAAATTACAGGACGTATTTTATTCAAATATAATATCTGTGCGTTGGTCGGTAGATCGGTGTTTAATAATGCAGTCTATTGGTCCTTAGGGGAACATATTAGAAAAGTGAAATACTGCATATGTCTTATGAAGTTAGTTATAAAGTGTCTTTGCAACACATATTAAATGTATATGAGTCAGTGACAAATAAGAATGTCTGAGATGATGAAGCTGAGAAATCTAGTTTAACATACATGTGGCAAGTTAATAGAAATTTACTTTTTTTAATTGATTATTATTATGATGTAACAACCATCTAAAAAGTAATTAAATAAAATATATTCACAGTATAACCTGAATACACATTAGCATTTTGCAAAAAATAAAAAAATTAGTTAATTGTTTTACATATATGATGTTTTTTTTATTAGGGTATAGAGGAGTCCTTTCTGGGATATAATTTACTAGTTTGTTGTTTTCTTGTCACATGACAACAAAATGGCTTCCTGCATGTTGGTTACACCACAATGACTGATTTGGCAGACAGAAATGTTTCAGATATATTACTTTAAAAACAAAAATGCTTCACTGCTTATTTTTATTTAAATAATAATACAAATAATGTCAATAATTTAACATAAGTCTTTATGTCAAAGTTTTTTTAATTTTAGACTTTTTCTTTTAAAATTAAATTTGGCACTACCAAGACTTTTTTTTAAATGACATTTAAATCAGGAAATTGAAAACATATTGATAATCATAGAAGATTTAATTCATATTAATATATTGATGTATGTGTCACTTTTTAAATATTTTCTTAGATCCAGATGAAAATTAGTGTCAATGACTGTTTAATTTTGCAAAAAATAAAAAAATTAGTTTGTTTTACAAAATAATTGTTTTACATATATGATGTTTTTTTTATTAGGGTATAGAGGAGTCCTTTCTGGGATATAATTTACTAGTTTGTTGTTTTCTTGTCACATGACAACAAAATGGCTTCCTGCATGTTGGTTACACCACAATGACTGATTTGGCAGACAGAAATGTTTCAGATATATTACTTTAAAAACAAAAATGCTTCACTGCTTATTTTTATTTAAATAATAATACAAATAATGTCAATAATTTAACATAAGTCTATGTCAAAGTTTTTTTAA